TCAATTAACGATATTCAACTAATTTATTTATAAACAGGTAGAATGAACTGACCGGGCTAGCCCGGCTGGGTCAACATACAAAATAATTAAGATACTAATAATTATGAATACAGATAACAAATTAGAATTGCACATCATGGTAGAATACACTTCAGCTATACTACTACATACAATACCTGCCAGTCTATTCTACAGGTAGAGTTTAGTATACAGGCAGCTATTCTACTACATACAATACCTGCCAGTCTATTGTACAGGTAGATTCTAGTATACAGGCAGCTATACTACTACATACAACATCTGCCAGTTTATTCTACAGGTAGATTCTAGTATACAGGCAGCTATACGACTACATACAATACCTGCCAGTCTATTCTACAGGTAGATTCTGGTATACAGGCCACTATACTACTACATACAACACCTGCCAGTCTATTCTACAGGTAGATTCTAGTATACAGGCAGCTATACTACTACATACAATACCTGTCAGTCTATTCTACAGGTAGATTCTAGTATACAGGCAGATATACTACTACATACAATACCTGCCAGTCTATTCTACAGGAAGATTCTAGTATACAGGCAGCTATACTACTACATACAACACCTGCCAGTCTATTCTACAGGTAGATTCTAGTATACAGGCAGCTATACTACTACATACAACACCTGCCAGTCTATTCTACAGGTAGATTTGTCTCTACAGGGACCTGTGTTTTGTTTTACAGGGACCTGCTTTAAAAGTATGACTCAAAAGTCACACTTTTAATGTTTGTTTTAGATATATCCGTTATTTTGTTTCAGTGCTAGGAAAGGTCAAGATATCGTTAAAATCACTAAACCTGGTCCCTTAGCTGGGGTTGAAGAGAAAACTAAAAGTATTTTTCTCGAACCAAAACTATGGTGCATCATCTGGGGAATGTGCTCAACTACTGTAGGTAATACTCTCAACTGTACTGTGCTGTACTTGATTGTACTGTAATTGACTGTACTCTACTTGACAGAATTGTACATACTTGAATGTACTGTATTTGACTGTACGGTACTTGACTGCACTGTACTTGACTGTACTGTACTTGACTGTACTGTAATTGACTTCACTGTACTTGACTGCACTGTACTTGGCTGTACTGTACTTGACTGTACTGTACTTGACTGTACTGTACTTGACTGCACTGAACTTGACTGCACTGTACTTGACTGTACTGTACTTGACTGTACTGTACTTGACTGCACTTTACTTGACTGCACTGTACTTGACTGTACTGTACTTGACTGTACTGTACTTCTGTACTTCACTGTAGTGTACCTGACTGTACTTTACTTGACTATACTGTACTTGACTGTACTGTACTTGAATATACTGTACTTGACTGTACTATACTTGACTATACTATACTTGACTGTACTATACTTGACTGTTCTGTACTTGACTGTACTGTACTTGACTGTGCTGTACTTGAATGTACTTTACTTTTTTATATTGTACTATAATGCATGCATTGTACTTTACTGAGAACTGACATTCCCCTTTGCAGCCCAATGTAGTTCCAAATTAAGGACTATACATTACACAACATCATGTATTTTCTGCATTACTCTCGGAGTAGTCCCCTGAAGACAATCAACAGTCTTCTATTTTATCTTTATAGATTAAATATATTCTATTTAGGATACACCAACTTTGGTCTTTATCTTCCTCTTCATCTAAATTCTGTTTTTCAATTTAACTCTCAACAAGGTTCACTCTTCCTTTCAATCTTTTCAATAGGTAGAATTCTACAATAAGTTTTAATATTGCTTTATACAATATTTGATCTTTTTCTTCAGGAGATTTTTTTGGTAGAGTGTTTGGCCCAGCTCTTTCTGATAAATTTGGGACAAGGTATTTTTGTTGAATTTTTAGTATTTTTAATCATCCTGTATCCTTCTTGTGTTTTTCCTTTATCCTTCCTGTATCCTTCCTGTATCATTCCTGTATCCTTCCATCATCATTCCTGTATCTTTCCTGTATCCTTCTTGTATCCTTCTTGTATCCTTCAATTGTATCCTTCTTGTATCATTACTCTATCCTTCGTTATCCTTGCTGTATCTTTCATGCATCCTTCCTTCATCATTCCTATATCCAACCTGTATCCTTCCTGTATCCTTCCTGGTATCCTTCCTGTATCCTTCCTGTATCCTTCCTGTATCCTTCCTTATCCTTTCTGTATCCTTTTTTATCCTTCCTGTATCCTTCCTGTATCCATCCTTCCTTTATCCTTCCTGTATCCTTCCTGAATCCTTCCTGTATCCTTCTTGTATCCTTCCTGTATCCTTCCTGTCTTTTTGGCCTATTTCCAGTAAAGACTGTCTTTAATCTTAAAACTCTTGCAGGTCGTCAATAAAGTGTCATTTTTTATGGTTCCTGTAAATTTAGATGGTTGTGGTACTGTGGAGGTTTATCTGGAGCTGGTTTGACTATGATAATTTTAGCTTTTCAAGGTACAAATTATAATTTTCTAATTATAAAATATGGTAGAGTAAATCCTGCATCTTATTCCTATATACTATATACTACGACGTTCGTATTTCACAATGTTTTGCCTCCTTAAAATAACGGTCTCAGGGGTAGGTCCTCGAATATTTAGTGCTTTCTTGGCAGTTTGTCTGATTAATAACTAATAAATATAATAAAGAAAAGTTATTCCTATGTTATGCAACAAAGAATGCTATTACAACAGTTTCCTGCTAATTGAGAGATGCATGTATAGATTATAGAGTCCCTTGTTTTTAGCATTCTATATTTTTTGTTCCCCCAACTGTAGTAGGATATTCTATATTTTTAGTTCCCCCAGCTGTAGTAGGATATTCTATATTTTTAGTTCCCCCAACTGTAGTAGGATATTCTATATTTTTAGTTCCCCCAGCTGTAGTAGGATATTCTATATTTTTAGTTCCCCCAACTGTAGTAGGATATTCTATATTTTTAGTTTCCCCAACGTAGTAGGATATTCTATATTTTTATTTCCCCCAACTGTAGTAGGATATTCTATATTTTTAGTTCCCCCAACTGTAGTAGAATATTCTATATTTTTAGTTCCCCCAACTGTAGTATAATATTCTATATTTTTAGTTCCCCCAACTGTAGTAGGATGCTGCACATTTACTGCAGGTAAACTCAACAAGACACACTTTTAATTTTATTAATACAGGAACACGTTAAAAAAATTGCATGACTTATCAATATCGAATTTTGTGAATTTAATAAACAAGTAGATGTAGTTGAACAAGCGCAAAGTTCAGCTACTTTCCAGTGGCTCTCCCAACTACCTCTCTCAATTAACTTTTTGTACCTTAGATTTAAGTGCTGTGTTCAATAATCTGATTGCCTAGGTATATGTAGTGGAGTATTTATTGGAATATATCCTGCTCTACTCTCAGATGAGCTAGGAGCTGATCGTCTTAACCATACTTATCCGGTCAGTCTTACGATAGCCGGCATCTGTAATCTAGCCGGTCCACCTATACTAGCTCAGGTACAGATACGGGTTCAGGTACAATTATGATTATAACAAATTATAACAAATTATAACAAATTCTATCATTATTTAGATTTCCTCCCGGTTAAACTCCTATGCTGTTATGATGGTTCTAGGTTTGTCTTTAATCTTTGGTTCTCTACCACTTCTTCTAATCTCTACCTGGAGATTAAATCCTGAACATTTAACATCAGCTCAACCCAACCAGGAGGATATTCTGGAGAATAAATCCTGATTCTTCAACCTCAGCTACATCAGTCCAAAATAAGCCGAGAAATATTTTCAAAATACGCAAGTTTTGTACATTTAAAAAAAATATATATAATAAACATTGAATGATTTTTATCGAAAAATTATTCATGTAATGTGTTCTGGAAAAGTTAAAGTTTCTCTTACATCCCATTCCAAACCATTTAGTTAAATAAACTTTGCGTGTATATAAGAAAAGAATATTAGAGGTTAAAAAATTACAAAATTGATTAAAATTCGATCTTTTTCTTAAGAAAGGGTGTCTTTAATATTATCTATACAGACTTATAAAATCAGTTTTCTAGACGGGGTCGACTTTGAAGTGTGTGGCCTTTGGTTTTAAATTATTAAATATACTTTTGTAAAGCCAAAGTACATTTAAGATACAACGCGTTTTTTAGCTAAGTTTAAAAGGAGAAATTGAAAAAATAATAATATATTTTTGCCCGAGAGCGTTCACACTTTGTGGATTACTGTGCCTAAATATTACCATAGAAAAAAAAAAAATTTGTGATTTGATAAATTTCAATTGTTTGTAAAAAAAATTCAATTTTAACAGTTTTAATGCAAAAAATAGTTGATTTAAAATGCAATGCATCGTAAATATAAGGTAGAAGTCTCATTGTCTTCGTTTTCTTACAAAATAAAATCTTGACTAAATTAGCTTTTTTAAATTCTCAGAGGGTGGAAATTTTGTGTAGAATATCATTTAACTTGAATGCTTGATTGATTTCGACATTTTTTATTAATGTGGACGCTTTTAAATTTGAGGATCAATGCTAGAGATGGGCAACGTTTTTGTGAATGAACGAGATTTGTCGTGAACGATGGTGCCGCTCAGAAAAAAACTAACGATAGAAAAATGATTTATAGGATCGTTCAGACTATCTATTTTTAAAACGAATGATTAAAGAGATAACGATTTAAAGCCATTCGCAGAATCTTGAAATAACGCGATCCGTTTTTTTTTACTGAACGAGCGATTTTTGGAACAACTTTAAAAAAAACTATAGTGACTTTATAGAAGGAACGATCGTTCAGGGAGAATACGAACGAAGTAGATACCAATTAAATGAAAACTTTGAGAACGAGAGAAATCAGTTATATTGGACTGTTCTCTAACGATGAACGAACGAAATGAAAATAAGCTGAACGTGCCCAACTATACTGGTATGACTTTGTGTCCGTGTAGCTCCTCTTTTTTTTACTGATAGGACTTTATGACCTCTTAGCTCCTCTAGTTTTTATTTTACTGGTATCACTTTGTGACCTCGTAGCTCCTCTATCTTTGTTTTACTGGTTTCACTCTGTGACCTCGTAGCTCCTCTAATTTTGATTTTACTGGTATCACTTTGTGGCCTCGTGGCTCCTCTAGTTTGATTTTACTGGTACGAGTTTGTGACCTCGTAGCTCCTCTAGTTTTGATTTTACTGGTATGACTTTGTGACCACGTAGCTCCTTTACTTTTGTTGTACTGGTACGAATCTCTGATCTCGTAGCTCCTTTACTTTTGTTTTATTACTGGTATGACTTTGTGACCTCGTAGCTCCTCTACTTTTGTTTTACAGGTATCACTTTGTGACCTCATAGCTCCTCTAGTTTTGATTTTACTGCTATGAATTGGTGACCTCGTAGCTCTTCTTGTTTTTTACTGGTATGCCTTTGTGACCTCGTAACTCCTCTACTTTTGTTTTACTGGTATGTCTTTGTGACCTCGTGACTCCTCTACTTTTGTTTTACTGGTATGACTTTGTGATCTCGTAGCTCCTATAATTTTGTTTTACTGATACGACTTTATGACCTTATAGCTCCTCTAGTTTTTATTTTACTGGTATCACTTTGTGACCTCCTAGCTCCTGTATCTTTGTTTTACTGGTTTCACTCTGTGACCTCGTAGCTTCTCTAATTTTGATTTTACTGGTATCACTTTGTGACCTCGTAGCTCCTCTAGTTTGGTTTACCGGTATGACTTTGTGACCTCGTAGCTCCTCTATCTTTGTTCTACTGGTTTCACTCTGTGACCTCGTAGCTCCTCTAATTTTGATTTTAATAGTATCACTTTGTGACCTCGTAGCTCCTCTATCTTTGTTTTACTGGTTTCACTCTGTGACCTCGTAGCTCCTCTAATTTTGATTTTACTGGTATCACTTTGTGACCTCGTAGCTCCTCTAGTTTGATTTTACCGGTATGACTTTGTGACCTCGTAGCTCCTCTATCTTTGTTTTACTGGTTTCACTCTGTGACCTCGTAGCTCCTCAAATTTTGATTTTACTGGTATGACTTTGTGATCTCGTAGCTCCTCTATCTTTGTTTTACTGGTTTCACTCTGTGACCTCGTAGCTCCTCTAATTTGATTTTACTGGTATGACTTTGTGACCTCGTAGCTCCTATACTTTGATTCTACTGGTAGTTTTGTTTACTGGTATGACTTTGGTATCTCATAGCTCCTGTACTTTTGTTTTACTGATACGACTTTATGGCCTCTTAGCTCCTCTAGTTTTGATTTTACTGGTATCACTTTGTGACCTCGTAGCTCCTATACTTTTGTTTTACTGGTAAGACTTTGAGACCTTGTGGCTCCTCTAGTTTGATTTTACTGGTATGACTTTGTGAACTCTTAGCTCCTCTACTTTTGTTTTACTGGTATGACTTTGTGACCTCGTAGCTCCTCTACTTTTGTTTTACTGGTATGAATTTGTGATCTCATAGCTCCTCTAGTTTTCCTTTTACTGGTATCACTTTGTGACCTCGTAGCTCCTCTATCTTTGTTTTACTCAAACGACTTTGAAACCTCGTAGCTCCTCTAGTTTTGATTTTACTGGTATGACTTTGTGACCTCGTAGCTTCTCTTCTTTTGTTTTACTGGTATGACTTTGAGACCTCGTAGCTCCTCTTTTTTTGTTTTACTGGTATGACTTTGTGACCTCGTGACTCCTATACTTTTGTTTTACTGGTATGACTTTGTGACCTCGTAGCTCCTATACTTTGATTTTACTGGTAGTTTTGTTTACTGGTATGACTTTTGTATCTCATAGCTCCTGTACTTTTGTTTTACTGATGCGACTTTATGACCTCATAACTCCTCTAGTTTTGATTTTACTGGTATGACTTTGTGACCTCGTAATTCCTATACTTTGATTTTACTAGTATGGTTTTGTGACCTTGTAGCCCCTCTACTTTTGTTTTACTGGTACGATCTTTTGACCTCGTAACACCTCTTGTTTTGATTTTACTGGTTGGACTAATTGTTACGTCGAAGCACTTCTATAGTTTAGATTTTACTGTTATGTAGTTTAGATTTTACTGTTATGTAGTTTAGATTTTACTGTTATGTTATAGTGAACTTGTAGCTCCTCTACTTTAAATTTTATTTGTACGGTTTAGCGACCTCGTAGCTTTCAGTTTTGATTTTACGGGAGATTCTTTTTTTGGCCTTAGATGACCACTCAAAGGTTTTAATGATATCGTTGTAAATCGGCATTGCCATCTTTGCATGAAGGGTTACTAAAACTTATGTTTATATAGTCCCTTCAACTTCTCATGCTTATTTCTTTGTACGAAATAGTCTGCTTGAAAATGCAAAATTAAAATCAAATTGCAATGTGTGGCATTTTCTTGTAGCAATTTTCTGCAGGGTAATATTATTTTATGTTCTCAGTACATTCGAAATTGAACGAGTAGATTTAAATCATTGATTTAGCCAAAAATAATAGAGTTATATCTCTTTTTCTATCTGAAATATATTTTGTTCAATTATTGTTTATCCAGAGTGACTTGATCAAAATATTCAATATAATATATATTTTTATGGATGATAATATTTACAATGCAATAAAATGTTTCCCAAGCGGTAAATCAATAAATTAACTAACTAGCGATGATGTAAAATCTTCACTTTATATAACTAAACGCGTCTTGTTTTATTATTGGGGGGGGGGGGGGGGTTGTATCATTTTTACATTTTTTTATTGCATGCATACCTAAAATGTAGAAATGAAGAGGTTAAAAAAATTAAAGATGCCCATTTTTTTTTAAAGGCTCCGGTCGAGATTATTTTATCTTTATCAAAGACCTAAATTCTTATTTGTTAGTTTGCATCTGCAGGATGGCAGCAAAAGGTCACTATATTTTTTTATTCTCCTTATTTTGAAAAAAAAAATTCCTTCCGTATGATTCTGAAATATTAAGAATTATCCATGATGTAATAGAATAAACCAGGCCTGCGCTTTACGCTTTTTTTTTTATTTTGACCAGCCATAAACCTATCATAGGCCAATAGGGTCAAGGTTGGGCCAACTGGTTTTGACCAGGGAATAAGAATAAAGGGAAGGGAAATGGCGCTGGTCTGGCATGAGAAAGTCAGTCGCACTGCTTTGCAGACGAGTTCGTTATTGCACACGCACACTCTTTTGGTTATATTCTTTGCATGCAAATTTGACTATATATATATATATTAAATATATATTAACCTTATTTTTAAGTAAACAATTAACAATAAACAAATGTACTTTCCTAGACTGTACAAATACTGTATATACCTACAGTACACGTCTTCAGTTCGGTATTGCTTACACAAACTCTCTTTTGGTACAGACACACATACCTGATGTTTCCGCCCCTTGGTTTAGACGTGCGTGTCTTTGATACAAACAAACAGACAACCAACAGACAGACAGGCCCATAATTTATTATATATTTAATTATGATTAATGTATGTTTAAAGGTTATTTTGGCCTCTTTGTGCTGAGTCTAGTCAGGTTTATTTTTTTAACATTTAAATGATTGCCATCTTCTTTATTTGTTTCTTAATTATAAACTATTTTGTTTAGTGCAGTACAGTACAAATACAAACTAATTACAAATAGCCAACTGAATGATTCCCGTCTCGGAAAATTTTTGTGAAGCACAATTTTTTTTTTACAATATACAATGGTCGGCGGCTATATTAGTTTACAATGAAGACGACGTTTTAATAATAATGATATGATCCCTAACAGCATTTTCAAATTACAAGTTTGCAAGTGAACAACGAGAAGCTGTTAATCGACAAATTCTCTTTATTAACATGTTTATGTGTCCTGCTGTTTGAAAGATTGGTAGAAATCAAAGTTGAAAAAGAAGGTCGTCTTCATTGTTTTGATATAAATGACGACGACTGTATTACAGAACGCCCATTTGCGTCCCTCTTTCTATCAATAAGCTTAGCCCCAAAATTTTGATAAATCGAAAATTTGTAGTACAAAAGTTATCAATTTTTACCACCATAAATAGGCCTGGGCAACGTTCCGTTGACAAACGGCAAGTTTTTGAAAATTAACGAAATTTTTCGTTAACAAACCGTCAATTTTGATGTCGTTAAACCCATTCCTAAGGGTTGCTTAAGTGTGCAAATGAATCAACCGATTTCACGTTTATAAATCGAATTCAACCAATATAAACAAATATAACAAAAACAAGCTAATAAGATATGTACAGATGGCTATGAAGAAAAAAGAGTTTAAATTTATTTCAAAGTCAAGTATCTTAATTTATCCCTTGCATAATTTAGATTAAAAGCGTGGGGGAATTAGAACAAAAATAAATTATAATTAAAACCTAATGTTCTAGTGCTGTTTTGACACAAAATGATACAACAACAACAACAACAACAACAGCAACAACAAATACAACTACAACAACCACTGATCGTCCAACAACTACAACTAGAGAACCTGCAGTCTGTGAATATGGGAATAACACTCTGGGAATCTGCGAGGAAATAAAATAAAAAGATTTTTGTAATTTTTAGACAATTTTGTTTTTTAATTACCTAAAATCGATCCAAATTATTTACATCTTATTAGATTTTAAATGAGGCTACCCACATTTTAGAAATGCCAGGAATAAGAAAATTGTAAATTAAGCCTTCTGTATGCCATCATCAGGTTGCAAAGATAAGGATTGGAAAGTTTTGTTATCAATTTCTTTATGTAAATTATGAAAACATTTAAAAATTTAACAGTAAAATTATTTATCTAATTTAGGTTATTTAATTGCAATATTTGGGGTTGTGGGGTAGGAACTAATTATTACCTGACACAGGTTTTCATAAAACCTTTAAACCAACCCTGTTTTTTATATCAAATCCAACAGTTAGAAAAAGAAAAACTAATTTGTTTTGTTGAATACAATTTTTTTATTTCCTTTTAATAGATCAGGGACCCAGAGGAGCTACGCGCATGCGACGTAGAACAGGCTCACTCTCTCTGTCTTGTAATTAGACGCAGCATGCGCGTAACTCTTTTTGGCTTCTGTCTCAGGGTTATTGTGAACGAAAAACTCCTAAATCTTGAAAAGACGACATTTGTGTTATTATTAATCTATTGCTTTACCGGAAAAAATTTGAACTAGAATTTCGTTTAAACTTTAGTTAAATGTGTTTAAGACAAATACAATCTTTAAATTAAATTTTATATCAGTGCGGGGCTCAGTTGTTTATAAACAATGATTGTACGCAGGTATTTACTAAAGCTTACTTTAAAGAGACATATCTACTTAATTTTACTTCACCGTTTGTTCAATTCACAACGATACCCTTTAAAACTTTAAATGAAGGTAAATTTTCTCAATTTTCTTTTTTTCCTCTGAAAGAGATATCGAAGACTAAAAAAAAAAATTATATTTCAAGGGTTCTTCTGTATACTTTTAGATAAATAAATGTACTTTAGGGATTCAATTATATGGATATTACAATAGGAATTTTACTTTAGGGATTTTACTTTAGGAATTCTACTTTAGGGATTCTACATTAGGGATTCTGCTTTAGGGATTCTACTTTAGGGATTCTACTTTAGGGATCCAATTATATGGATATTACAGTAAGAATTCTACTGTATGGATTCTACTTTAGGGATTCTACTTTAGGGATTCTACTGTATGGATTCTACTTTAGGGATTCTACTGTATGGAGACTGAATTACCAGAAGGAGGAAACGCCCAAGGATGTATGAAAACTTGTAAATCAGATGAAATCTTACAAGTTAATGTTAAAACATACACATGGGAATGTGTTTTAAAAAGACAGTAAGTAATTATATTATCATGATTAAGAGACCAAAGGTATTCTTATTTATAGAAATGGAATAATCTCTTTTAAAGAAATTTGATAATCTTGTTTAAAGAAGTTGGATAATCTTGTTTAAGAAGTTGGATAATCTTGTTTAAAGAAGTTGGATAATCTTGTTTAAAGAAGTTGGATAATCTTGTTTAAAGAAATTGGATAAGAAAGTTGGATAATCTTGTTTAAAGAATGTAAATTGTCCAAACTGGCAAAAAAAAGGGTTTCACTCTCACTCGGGTTTGGAAATTAATTTCGATATATTTCATATCCTCATCAGTCCTTAAAGAATGGTGGTATTGTCAAAACTGTTTAAAGAAGTTGGATAATCTTGTTTAAGAAGTTGGATAATCTCGTTTAAAGAAGTTGGATAATCTTGTTTAAAGAAGTTGGATAATCTTGTTTAAAGAAGTTGGATAATCTTGTGTAAAGAAGTTGGATAATCTTGTTTAAAGAAGTTGGAAAATCTTTTTCAAATTTTTTCCTAGGCCTGGAGCTTTACCTCTTCTTTGTCCAGGCTCATTTAACACTGGTAAGCAAATTTTCTCATACCTTTAAATAAAGCTAAATAGACATGTATATGTTCACCTAGGGGGTTTCCAACCTAAGATTCTAAAACGATTTGGTTTGGTTCAGACATGTTGGATATGGGTAGGACAATTTTCAGGATGTGATTTAAATCGAAATTTTTAGCAGAAATACGCAATATTGCTATGAATACACTTCATAATAATCATTTCAGATTATTTTTGGGTGGGTTTAGTATCATGCTTAATATATGTGCAAGTAAAATTAAGTTTTAATTAGAATGTCCTGGAAATGGAGATATTAAAGATTGTCAGTGTGATGGACAGCTTTGGATCTCTGATCATTGCAGGTTATATAAAAAATACAACCTAGTACAAACTTAGAAGCAATCTGCAAGAATTTACCTTTTTTGGGACCAAGTCATGAGTATAGCTGTAACACATACTAAATAAACACAACAAAGCTACTATGGATATTTCAAAAATTAAAATGATGGAAGAAGCAAACTTGAGCAATTTAAAAGATCTATGACTCCTTCGAGGAGATATATGTAGGACTGCTGAAAACAGGATTCTGCGTGCTTTCCTTTAATTTACAAACTACATGATTAAACTTCATGCTTGCGCCACCATGGGAGAAATGTCTTTAAAATCTACATCTGATTCTGCACTGAAGTTCACCATATACTCCATAGATTAATTAAAATAACAGATAGGACACTTAATGTTATCTTTTCAAGATTTATATTTTATCCGTTCACAATAACCATGAGACATTAGATCAAAAGAGTTACGAGTAGAACATCGCTCTCTCGGTTGATGTTGTAATTCTACAGAGAGAGATGTATCTAGTGTCCTTTCTGTTATTTTAATTAATTAAAATTGGAATTTATTCCAGTTTTGAGGAGAATGAAACAAATTCTTTGAAAAGACTGACGAGGCATCCTAGATTTTTTAATATGAAAGCATGAAAGCTTAAAGGGACTGTAAGTGTAATTTCAAGTGACCCTCTATTTATGTCCGATTCACAGTGGTACCTTTAAACCTTTATCTTATCACCAATTTTTCTAGATTTCTAGCTTTTCTAGCAAATTATTTCCTTTAATAAAGAAACCCTCTGGAAAGTAAACATATGGAGATCTTATTAATTCTTGATCAGATTAAGAACCTCTCTAACTAATTCAGGTCAAATCAGGATTTTCCAGAGTTTATCAGAAATTAAAGTTTTAATATTGCAGGGTGTCTCACGAAAATTGAAAGTTGAGAGACGACTTGAAGATCATCTGTGATCTTTGAAATAATTTGCGGCATTCACCGCAGTTGATCTTAATCTGTCTCTTTACTGTTATTTTTTGTGGGACACCCTGTATGTGTATTGAGGGATTCTACTGTATATGAATTCTGAATTTACGGATTCTACTGTATGGATTCTGGACACCTTGTATATATATTTAGGGGTTCTACTATACGGATTCTGGACACCCTGTATTTAGGGATTCTGGTTTTACGGATTCTACTGTATGGATCTGGACACCCTGTATATTTATTTAGGGATTCCACAGTACGGATTCTGGATTTAGGGATTCTACTGTATGAATTCAGAAGTTAGGGATTTTACTGTATGGATTCGGTATTTAGGGATTGCACTGTATGGATTCTGGACAACCTGTATATGCATTTGTATTCTAATGTATGGATTCGGTATTTAGGGATTCTACTGTATGTATTCTGTATTTACAGATTCTACTGTATGTATTCTGTATTTACAGATTCTACTGTATGAATTCGATATTTAGGGATTCTAATGTCTGGATTCGGTATTTAGGGATTCTACTGTATGGATTTGGTATAAAGGGATTCTACTGTAAGGATTCGGTATTTAGGGATTCTACTGTCTGGATTAGGTATTAAGGGATTCTATTGTCTGGATTCAGTATAAAGGGATTCTACTGTATGGATTTGGTATCAAGAGATTCTACTGTATGAATTCGGTATTTAGTGATTCTACTGTATAAATTTGGTATTAAGGGATTCTACTTAATGGATTCGGTATTAAGGGATTCTACTGAATGGATTCGGTATTTTCGGATTCTACTGTGTGGATTCGGTGTTTTGGGATTTTACTGTCTGGATTCGGTATTTAGGGATTCTACTGTCTGGATTCGGTATTAAGGGATTCTACTGTGTTGATTCGGTGTTTATGGATTCTACTGTATGGATTCGGTATTTAGGGATTCTACTGTATGGATTCTGGGTTCCCTGAGGGTGTGAATGCCGATGGTTGCATAAAAACCTGTCGTCCGGATGAAATCCTGATCGTTGATGTTGGCAAATACGATTGGGAGTGTGTTCCTAAATCTTTCAGGTTAGTCACATTAAAATAACTTAACTTGTATTTGTTCGGGTTGATTTATTTTTGAATCTTTAAGCAATTTCAAACTTGTTTTTTTCATTGCCGTACCATTAAAACCTTGCTTTAAGCCATCACACCAATTAAATTTAACACTTTAATTTCCGGTCATTTAAAAATAAATCTTGTTTTTAGTAACCCTGTACCTACCACATATTTATTAGTCAAAATAATTAATTTGTATTTTAAAGGCCTGATATCCTGAATAGAATATGCCCTGGAGAGTTTAAAGTTGGTAATATGATATATTAATTCATTTTGTTCATTCCTTTATTCTACCAACCTACGTCGTCATAACGTCAAGGCAACATTGCGTTAAGCTTGACCAACTTCCTGTTTTGCCTGTTTTATAAGCATTTAACTTCATTTTGGCTTACCAGAGGGTCCCCAATAATTTTGTAAGTTTCACAAATTTTATTATTTTACCTTTTCTTTATTTAGTCCAATCTCCTTCTCTACAGTCAAAATTTTTAAATGTAATTAAATCAAGCTTTGTGGAGCAACCTGAAAGCCAAAACTCGTTAAATGTTTAAAAAAAACTAGGGTTGGGCAAAGTTCCGTTAACGACACAGGATTTTTGAAATTAAACAGTTGAGTCTATTAATTTTCAAATCGTTAACTAAAAATCGGATGTGTGTTAAAAAAACGTCGACTGTTTAAAATTGCATAAAATTAAAGTTAATTTTTTTTGTATTTTGATGTTTTTATACGCCACGCCGACTTCTAATTTTCCCTTGCTTATTTTCTAAAGTACAGAATTTTATGCATTTTGATGTTTTTTTCCTGGTCTAATGATGTTTTTGTATGTTTGTCTTCCAATTTGTCCAGCTATTTTTGAATAATATAATCGTTAACGGCTCTTTAACTGCTGGCACTGTAACTATTTCGATCTATAATATCTGCCATTAAATATATCAAGATCGATAACTTTAAAAAAGGAGAAAAAAGTTGAAGAAACGAACGTTCCATTTCTAGATATAAAACTAACGGCTGCCTGAAAAACTAAATTTTAACGGTTTTAACTAACGGCGATAAAAAAGTCAGAACAGCCCTATACTCAAACCCAATTTCAATTACATTAGTTAATTAGTGTAAAAGTATTTAATTAGTAGCACTAGAGAATGCGCGTTTGGCTTTTTTCAATTCGTCCGTTTGTCATTCTTTTTTAACAATCCATTTCGTTTTTATCAGTTGTTCAGAACAAATTTTAATTTTTTCGTTTTCATAATTTTCGTTCATTTACAATCTATTTCGTTTGTTTCTAGCTGAAAATTCAATTTATCAATTAAATTGTTCGTTCATTAGAAATCGATTATTTTTTCAAGTTTGTTTCAACAAAAATTGATGTTTTTTTTGAGTAAAAACTATCGATTTTCTGTAAAATTTCGTGTGTTCACAAAACGATGCCTGCATCTCTACGTCGCACAACCATACATCTATGACTAGAGGCAATGGCATCATTGTTTCGATGTGGAGTGAACAATGGTTCTCGCTGGAAATTGGTAAAAATATGAATTTTATTCATATTTGACCTGCAACTAAAATGGACGTCACTCAATACTCAAACATCATTAAATTAAAGTTGATTTTAAAGGGAGTGTTTGACGCATTCGTATATATGGTTGATATTTCATAATATTTTTTATTTTTAATGTCTGAGAGTTACTTTTGAAAACAATTAATTCCTGTTTCGAAGATTTGCGGAATTGACCTTATTTCAATTATAATCTGGTTTACTGGGCATAATGAAAAAAGTTTGTTTCTCTAGAATGTCCTGGTAATGGAGATATTGGAGAATGTGAATGTGATGGACAACTATGGATTGATGACACATGCAGGTTTGGGTGAAAACACAAATAGAAATTTATAAAATAGAGTGCTAGATTGGATTATGAAATTGGACTGCCAAATTTAACAACTCAAGACATTTCAACTTAATATTAGAGCCTTAAAATTATTTAGAAATGGGTTCTACTGTGACAGCAGGATGGCCGGCAACGGAATAGATATAAAATGTAATGACACAGAGAGGATTGATGTTGATATGATAGAACAGTCTTGGAAGTGTATTCCGGTAAGTTGAAAATACTTCTAATACTGCAGACACGAACCATCTAATGGATTGACATGATCAAACAGTCTTGGAAGCTCATCACAGTGAATAAAAAACAGATTTTACAGGGACTATTCTGCAAATACAAAGCATTTCATATATTTGTGTTGAAATGATTTAAAATACAACATATGATACCAAATACCAGATTCAACCAGATTTTCATATCGAATAAGTTTTGACATGATCTTAGAAGTTTACTCTTGTAAATAAATAAAAAAACAGATTGCACTGCAAACACTAAGCGTCTTATATATGTGTTTGTTGACATGCTTGAACAGTTTTTGAACTAAATTGGGTTTAAAAACTTTTTAGATAAAAAAGATTTCAAATCGTTCAATCGTTGACACAATCTAAAAATCCAAGAGCTTAAAAATATCAAAATTGTAAAAGTGAATGTTCACAAATTTCAGGATGATAATAAGTGTCCTGGAGGACTACATACAAAATGCCAAGCTACCACAACTACCACAACTACAACAACAGAGAGTAGTTCTTCAGCAATAGTTGAATCATTTTTAACTCTTCAATTAGTCGGGCTGGCAATATATTTCGGATTTTGGTAGATTTTACAAAGTTTTCCCTTTTTTATCATTGTTTGTATCCATGCCTTTAAAACTTTTTCCAATCAATTTTTTTCAATAAACAACCTTGAAAGGAAGTGAACACCTGTGATGTTGTAAACAGAAATCTACAAACTCAGGTTGCAAAGATAAAGGGATGTGAAAATTAGTATTTGAAGGGACCGTTCACTTCTTTGGGTAATTGCATAGTAAACTAAGCATATTACCTCAGCCTCTTCATTGGTATTTATAGTCTTACTTTTGAAAGATATCTATGACCGAAGAAAAAAAACAATTTTTCGTTTAGAATTCCAGCGGAAAGGTACGTTACCTTTCCATAGACACTATTTAAACGTTTTTTTTCAGCAACAACAGCCAATAAAATCTAAGTTTATCACATTTCAATATCAACCATTATATAATAAAATATAAAAACATGTTGAATTTTGATTTTAGAATTAGCAAGAAATTAACGTTTTTCGTGTTCGAACATGATCTAAACAAATTAACGCATTTATACAAATAAGACTTTTTCTCTCAGACAAACCGGTTCCTGATTCAACTAATAATTAAATCACAGGGATTCCCGGGGAAGATGGGAAAACGTAACAAACCGTCAAATGTATAAGTTATATTTTGAAAATACTAATAGACAATTTTAAATAATTGTGATTTATATGGTGGAGGCTCGTTCACTGCTCAGTCTGCCAGGCAAATCTGAGAGGCTCGTGTCTGCATAGCAGAGGCTCTTGAGGGGAGGAAGGCCAGCCACCTCGAAATCCTCGACTTTCGCTTATTTTGTGTTTTTAAATTTCTAATTCTTGAAGATAAATCTTTCTTTTAAAAATCAGGCTACGTTAGGGCATAAAATATGGATAGACTAAAGTATTGCAATGATTACATCATGTTGAAATCTTCAAAGCCATGAGAGTGATGTCAAACTTTATTTAAGAGAAACTTGAATCTCTTCTGCCTCTGTAATGGCTAACCTTTGTGATACAAAATAAATAGCAAAATATTTGGCATACCTCTGCCTATAATTTACCCCATGGAACCACCAGAAAAAAATTCTATGGTTTCCGCTAAAATTAAAAAAAAGATCAAAGTTCTATAAACTTGGAATTATTTGCGGCATTCTATACCAAGATTTAGATTATCTGAAAATGCGCGCGTAAGAAAGGTGAATTTTTTTCAGGACATTGTACTTATAAACATAAATTAAATTGAAAGTATTCCTTTCTATTTACAAAAATTTAATATTTTATTAATGCTCTAACGTGACCGAATTCTTAAAAAATTGTTTTCTCTTGGAGAATTAAACTTTTTAAAAAGATAATATTGTAAGGTGGCTCGGACTAGAAATTGTGGTGGCTCATGGCGTCCGGGGATTCCCTCCCTCTCTGGTCAGTATCGATTGGCTCGTGAGGAAAATTGTGAAGGAGGAGATAGGGTACAAATCGTACATCCATAGATAGCTCCAGTTTATTAAAAATGCAGTGAAGCAGAAAAAGATCAGAATAGGATGGGATGCAGGGCGCACATGAGGCACGTCTTGGACACATACTTGTGGCCCCTCTGCTACCCAGATTTGAATCCTATCGCTTATTTTGTGTGGTCCTGGGTCGAGAAGGATGTCAATAGAACTCCTTACAACACAACAGTCCCTTATCAGTGAAAGCACTAGAGTATTTAATGATATGCCGCACGATAAAGTCGGTATTGGCTGCTCTAGCTTCAGAAAATGCATGGAGTACGTCGTTGCTGCAAAATTTGGTTTAATTAGATAAATACGTTCGTTATGACTAAAAAACAACATTTAAAACAAAATATATGCAAAAATATTTTTTTTTTATCAGATTTAGAGAGATTTCAATTTGGCCCAAGAATATGAATATTCTTTTAACAATTAGCCTACGATATTCATGAGATTTTTATAACTTTTATCGGATTTATACCTTAAAATTAATAAAGATTTTAATCTAATAAACTTATTGCGGAAATTGATTTATCATAATCACCTGAAAATTATCGAATAAACAAAACGAAATAATTTATTTGACTTCTAACAATTATAAAATAAATAATAATAGCACCAGTGTACTTCCGGTAAATTAAAGAAGAAACATACATACTTCACATACATTATATGGATAACACTTTTTACGAGTATTCTAGAGTAATAATTGGATTGAAACCTAGAAACTAGAACTCCGTGAATCTGATTAAAGAAGAAACATACATACTTCACATACATCACATGGATCACACTTTTTACGAGTATTCTAGAGTAATAATTGGATTGAAACCTAGAAACTAGAACTCCATGAATCTGATTTTTTAAATCTAAATCTAGTATCTAGAACTCCATGAATCTGAATTTTATATTCTGAATTTCGGATCTAAAATTCAAAAAATCTGAATTTTACATTCTAAAAATCCCGAATTTAGTGTCAGGAATAGGAGCATTCAGAGCTGCGCTCAACGATAATCCAAGCACCCTAAAATAGAAAAATATTATCAAATAATAAATAATTTAATTGTTATACATTATAGATTCAAGATGAAAAAAATATTTTTATATTTCCAAACATTATTCTAAAACTAAGATTTCTTTTAATTTTACTCGCAAGGGTTGATTTAAAAATTTACCTAATTTGATGACGCACTATTTTTACAGATAAGATAAAACAGTGGTTAATAAAATACTTTGGATTAGAAGTTAAGGAAACGTTGTGTTTAAGACAGGGGTTTTCACATCATATTCAGATTTTTTATTCCTAAAAGGATTAAATGCTTAAGATAAAAACATTTATAAAAATTGTATTAGGACATTAAATATTTGCATCAAACAGGATTCCATCTCAAAGAGAAAATCCAATATGATATGAAAGACCCTGTATTCTAAAACGACAGGTGCAGATTTATCATTATTTATTTTATCATATTTTTTTACCATATCATATGTATCATACCTTCTACTGTCTACAGGGTCTATAACCCCGTCATCCCAAAGCCTGGCAGAGGAGAAGTATGGTGAACCTTCAGCTTCAAATCTTTTTATTATTGGAGCTTTTAGAGCAGCTTCTTCTTCAGCGGTCCACTAGATTATACAAGGTATGTAGGTTAAGTAACATTTAAAGGTTGTAGGTTAAGTAACATTTAAAGGATAAGATTAATACGATAAAGACTTCCACTGTTAAGTCCAAATAATTTCTTTATAGTAACACTATTAACATTATTACCTAGGGTCATAAGCTCTCCCGCACATCCCATAATTACCAGCGCCGTAGCTACCACCTAGGGTTAACAGTATTCTATTAAGAGTGCTTATGATCATTTTCATTTCGATGCAGATCTGAATCCTGTATTCTTTTAGAAGAAAAAATAGATCCGTATCCAGGCCATGCACATTTCTTTTTAACAAATGTTTCGCTTATTTTTAAGTTAAAACTTAATACACCATTTAGAGTTAAAAGCTTGTTTGAAATCAAATCATGATCCAGAATGCAAAAATGTTGCGGATCTAACGGATCCAGATAGTATGCACTGTTAATAAAAATAAAAAATAACGGTTATTTTTTACGAGAAAAAACTCCTGAATAATTTAACTCATTTTAGTAAACTTAACCCAGAAAGTTTTGTCTAGTATAAAAAACTTACCGACGATTAGAGTAAGTTTAGGAACCGCGGCACAAGCTACAGCTGTAACTAGTTTAGCGCCATGTTTAGCAATACCTCCAGCCTCCGCATCCTTACCAACCATAAACCCTGTAAAATCAATCAATCAAATATTCGATCAGTCAAACAAAGAGTCAATCACTCAATCATTCCAAAAAAGTAATCAATCAATCAATATGTCAATCACTCAATAATTCATTCAATTAACTGAGCTTGGATCATTCTAAAGTTCCCAGCTCTGATCACTTATTTAGTTGGTTAGTCAATCAGATATACATTATGCAATCATCAATTTAAGCAGAAAATAAACCAATCAAATCAATCAAACCAGCCCACCAACCATCAATTCATCCAACCAACCATCCTACCAGCCAGCCAACCAACCATACACCCACCCATCAACCAATCAAACCAGCCAACCAACCAACCATTCATCCGACCATCCAATCAACCATTCTACCAGTCAGCCAACCACCCATACACCCATCCATCAATCAATCAAACAGCCAACCAACCATCCATTCATCCAACCATCCAATCAACCATCCTACCGGTCAGCCAACCAACCATACACCCATCAATCAATCAATCAAACCAGCCCACCAACCATCCATTCATCCAATCAACCATCCTACCAGCCAGCCAACCAACCATACACCCATCCATCAATCAATCAAACCAGCCCACCAACCATCCAATCAACCAACCTACCAGCCAGCCAACCAACCATACACCCATCCAATCAACCAACCAACCTGTTATATTCTGTAGAAAGATGAGAGGTATTTTCCTTTGGCAGCAAAGTTCAATAAAATGAGTTCCTTTGAGAGCTGACTCCGCGAAGAGAACTCCGTTGTTACCCAGGATACCAACAGGATACCCATACAGTCGGGAGAACCCTGAAAAGTAAGTAGTAAAATACAGAACAGTACAGACAGTTGGTACGGTACGTTACAGCCAGTTAAAAGCAACTTAAGTGAAGAACATGGAGAGAAAAGATTCAATTCTATTTTTCCATAATATCATTCACTTTCTTCAAAAGTTTAATTTCGTAATAAACCTAATGATATTTCCCAAAATGATTGTTGGGGGGGGGGGGGCTATGCTGTCCAATAAAATTACTAACAATTATTTGTTGACTCTTGCGTAGATGTAAAAGAACATAAAGCTTACCACAAACCAGTGTTTCTCCGTATTTGGCTTTAAACTCATCAAACTTGGATCCATCAACAATTCGGGCAATGATCTCACGAACATCAATGTTCTTCTTCAAATCCTCGCCAACAATCCCATAGAGATCCTTGGGATCGAAGAGGGGCTCTTCTACCTCACTGATGGATACCTCAGCACTCTTCACTTGGTTCAAGTTGGCAACTGCTCTCCTAAATCAAATTCAAGTTTAAGAATGCATTCTAATAATTCACAAATATTTTTCAAAGTTTTCCTAAAGTGTAAATAATAAGTTAACTTAAATAAAACAGTCGAACCAAAGATCATGTAAGATCTATGGATCTTTTCCAAAATCTTGATGTTCAGGTTGAATCCAGAAATCGTGATCTAAAGAAGCACATGAAGATCTAATCATCTAACTCTATACTTGTTCCTCCTGTATATACATACATATATAAATATTTAATCGAGCTTTACCTGAGATTTTACTTGAGTTTAACTAAAGTTTTACTTTAAATGTATTATTCTGGCCTAAAGTTTTATATCCTCGAGCTTAATAAGCTTTTTTATAACGTCTAGATTTATACTTTAAAAAAGAAGCCTGAAACAAAATTATATTTAATGGTCTATGTATTTCAGACCACAATGGGCTAGATAGCTGCCCTTTATATCCTGTTTAGTAATCCAGGTTGTGCAATACTAGGTTTATAAAACATCTTATTTAAATGTAAATGTAAACACTGCCTATACCTTTCGAATTTAAGCTCTTTAAAACTTACGGATGTTATATAAAGTGAATCCAGATCGTTCGTGCATTTCATCACCTGTCCTGAACTATGAACTAATGAATTAACAGGTGAAAATACATTCCTAGAAAATTTAGAACTTTTGAAGTTTATGCGAAACTAACTACTCCCTTATCTCTTAGACCAAGTTCTTCTCTGATATATCCTCGCCTCCTCTCGGAGAAGTCCCCTCGGAAGCAATTATGTTTCTCTAAACCGGGACTGCTGCTTTCGAGCAGATAGAGGTGAAGATTGAATATGAACTGCTCTCAAGATGAGATCTAATGTTAACCTAATCTTATTTAGATCCCATCAATATCCTCGCCTCCTCTCGGAGAAGTCCCGTCGGAAGCGTCTACCTTGCTTCTCTAAACCGGGACTGCTGCTACTAAGCAGATGAAGGTGAAGATTAAATACGGAGCTGCTCTCAAGATGAGATCTAATGTCTAACTTAATCTTATTTAGATCTCATCATTGTCCTCGAGATTGAGATCTGATGTTTAACTCAACCTTATTCGGATCCAATCATCATCTTCACTACCTCCCTATTGGAGAAGTCCCGTCGGAAGCATCTCCTCTGCTTCTCTAAACCGGGACTGCTGCTATTAAGCAGATAAAGGTATATAATCAAGTTTCATGTGATCTTTGTGAACAATTAAAGACGAAAATGTGACTACCTCTAACACATGATAAGCATTCATATAAACTCATAATATTATTTCTAGTTATGTATAAGAGACAGCTGGTAACGATCATCCAACTCTAGAGCTATTAAATTCTCCGGCCTAATCAACTTTGTAAGTGTTACCTTAATTCATATAAATTTGTCGCAATTTATTCACATTTAGCACATTGTAAGTGTTATCTCAATACCTAATTGTTGTTACAACTTATTCACACTTAGCACACCTGGAGCTAATTTCAATGTAAACTTGGCTAATTTTATTCACTTAAATCATTCTAATACTAATTTATTATTTTATGCAACCCATGACTGATGTATTGTTGTTCAGTTCACGAGTCCTAGCTCTGTATCGCTGTACCAGAAATAAAGACTATAAGAGACTCATGTATATTAAAGAGGTGCGCAATGGAGAATTGATGTTGCCCCATCATGTTAATAGCTGAACAATTCCTGTGGATCTAGGTATTGTTTCTAGGGAAAATGCTAAAATTCCCAAAACGGGCACAGATCATCTTGAGCAAAAAGATCTATTGCAAGAAGAGAGCCTGTTGATCATTAAGAGAAAAAAGATCTACATATAATCTGGCTAGATTAAGAGGATATTAATCATCAAGAGAAAAAAACAACAATAACATGGCAATTGCAGATGGCAAGATGAAGAGCAAAATCTTAAACCAAATAAGTAAGTTCACCATAATCCGAAATATAACCTAACTTTACGTAGTATATTTCCGTATTAAATCCAAGTTAATTACGTCATTAGGTACAAAAAAGAGATTAAGCTATCAAAACCAAAATGATCTAACCCCTGGCAAGAAGCATGCTAATCATCAAGATAAAAATGATCTATAACCTGGCAAGAAGCATGCTGATCATCAAGAGAAAAATTATCTATAACCGTAAGTTTAATAGTATGCTGATCATAAAACAAAACTGATCTATAACTGGCAAGTTAAAGAGCATGCTGATCATCAAGAGGAAAATGATCTATATCTTCGTAAGATGAAGAGCATGCTGACTATGAAAAGTAAAATTATCTATAACCTGGCAAGATGAAGAGCATGCTGATCATCAAGAGCAAAATGATCGGTTACTCCACTCTGAGAGCAATGAAGTTCTGCTCCTCCAAGGTCCTCAGCAGAAATCTCTTCACCTTAAGAACAGACCGATCAATCAATCAATTAATGAATTAGACAGAAATCCATATTAAAAACTTATTCCATTAGAAAAACTTTCAACAAAGAAATAAACGCAATAAAATAATACTAAATATCATTGTATTTTCCACAATCTAAGGTGATGAGGTACATTTCAATGAGAGTTCATTAGTTTGTCTGCACATATAACTGTAACTCTAAGGATAACACAAATTGTGAAATATTTCCCACCTGTTGCTGCTTTCACTAGAGGTGGTCCCCCAAGAAAAATAGTTCCTTGCTTCTGTACAATTATGCTCTCATCTGCCATAGCCGGTACATAAGCTCCACCAGCTGTACATGAACCCAGTACAACGGCAATCTAGAATTTTTGTAACTATTAAACTTTGCAGTTCTTGACATATTGTTATTGTAAGTGACCTCTAAAATACCTGAATTAGACATGTTGGGAATGTGATTGACCTGTGCAATGCCTGAATTAGACATGTTGGGAATGTGATTGACCTGTGAAATGCCTGAATTATACATGTTGGGAATGTGACTGACCTGTGAAATGCCTGAATTAGACATGCTGGGAATGTGATTGACCTGTGCAATGTCTAAATTAGACATGTCGGGAATGTGATTGACCTGTGCAATGCCTGAATTAGACATGTAGGGAAATGTGACTGACCTGTGAAATGCCTGAATTAGACATGTTGGGAATGTGACTGACCTGAGAAATGTCTGAAATAGACATGCTGGGAATGTGATTGACCTGTGCAATGTCTAAATTAGACATGTCGGGAATGTGATTGACCTGTCAATGCCTGAATGAGACATGTAGGGAAATGTGACTGATCTATGAAATGCCTGAATTAGACATGTTGGGAATGTGACTGACCTGTGCAATGCCTGAATTAGACATGTTGGCCTGATTGAAGAATATTTTGCCAAAATGTTCACGGTCTGGGAAAACCTCTGCTTGACGAGGTAGGTTAGCGCCACCAGAATCCACTGAACAGAAATGTTTATGCATTTTGAAAACTAGGGGGGGGGGACTGATTTTAATCAGATGTTGATTCGCACCATTTTTTTGGCTACAGATAAGCAACGAAGTATAACTAAAATTTTTAAACTTTTCAAGCTATTTATTATTGAGAAAACACAAATCATTTTTAGGTGGCCCATTTGAAAGTGCCCAGCCTAAATTTTTTAACAGTTGTTTTTGTGTGAAGAATTTCTTAGATCCATCTTTCTGTAAATAAACATCTAAAGTATAGGATAACTAAATTACCTAGATAAATACACGGAAGCTTGTTCTCCATAGCAACCCTTTGAGCTCTTAAATGCTTTGTAACAGTTATAGGATAGTAGCTTCCACCCTGATATATATATAATGATTAATCATCTAAAGTAAACACCAAAATATGAAGACGACCTCAAGTATAGCTGTACATAACAAATTTATGAGCGGATTTCTGAAGGAAAGACACAAAAGAAATTACAATTTTCGTCCATTAAAGAAAGGAAAAATCTACAAGATTTGTATCTTACTCAGATAAAGGGTTGAAGGGTACTGGTATAAAAAGTAAATGGAGTCCGACAGGATCAATTTAAATTTCATCAACAGTCCCATTAATAACTATCCATTTAGTACCTTCACTGTTGCATCGTTGGCTACAATCATGCAGAGAACTCCACTTACTCTTCCAACTCCTGGATTAGGTTAGGATAAGGAAAAAGATCAAAATTAAATCAGAACTGCAGGAATTTACCAACAGCTTTTAATGTTTTAGAACGAAATATCAAGCTCTTATTGAACATCTGATTTTGCCGGGACCTTTGCTATTGTCATAACTTGAAATAAAAACAAGTTGCATAACTTAAATTTTTTTTTTTTGAATTAAGGCTTGCAAATCATATTTAAATTGATAAATGATGATTGCTTCCTATATGGGCTTAGATTAAACAAGTTAAGAATAAAATTTGAAGTTTTAAATTAAAAGCTTTTTAAAATGCAAAAATTAGAAAATTTTATGATGGGTTTTATTATTGAGAAAAGAAGTGGAAAACTGCAAAAAGTTAAACAGATATGATAACAAATCAGATAAGGTGATAAGGATTAAGATGAATCTATATCAGGTTATTCATTAATTAGTACTGATTTTATTCCTATAACACCCGTAGTACAAAATGATGAATAAAATAAAAAAAAAAAGTTGAAGAAAACTAAGCAGACCTGTAATAATGCCCCCGGCAGGTACTTCTTCCTTCCCGTATAGATTATATCCAGCCAACTACAGATTTATTTTATAATATCTATACATATATCTTAGGTATAGCTAGCCGAACCCCTGGACCAAATTAGCTGACATTTTTTGAGGAAACCCATGTTTACCCTGTGAGTAACAAAGGCTAGAAAAATTAGAAATTCAAAATTCTATTCTAGTGTTTCTAAAATTCCACGAGCATCGCTAGTATTCAGTGTTGATTAAACTTAAAAAACCTTAATTAGGTGAGAAAATGATTGGAATATCATGGTTAACATGCATATTGAGTTGAATTAGGAACGCTAAATACCCAAACAGTCAAATCAAATCAGAGTTTTACAGACACCCTACTCCCAAGGTTGTATGACATTGCTTGTTAAAATGGGTCGTAAAGAATAAATATTAATATAGACGCCCTACTCCCAAGGTTGTATTGACATGAGCTCCAACCTAATGCTAGATCATCACGAAATCATGACGCCACCATGACATTTCTTGTTCAGGTGGGTCGTAAAGAATAAATATTAATAATGAAATTAAAATGTTCCTGAGATAGTTCCAGGAATGGCGATCCAGGATCAAGGAGGAGGTTAATCCGTTCTCTTGCAACCAGTTTACCTCTAGACAATAAACAATTTTTAACTTGAAAAATGAGTGAAAAAATTCTTCAAATCAGAAAAAAATTACTAAATTGGGATACAATCATGTTCTGAACTTCATCAGGAACCGGTAAAACATTAAGTGAGTTTTGCTGCAAATACATTTAATATTAGTGTTATCTTAAAATAATGTTTTCAACAATAAAATGCTTGCAAAAAACACATTTTTAAAGTAATTTTTTGAGTTGCAAAAATGTTACTAACCTGCTTGTATGTCTTTCAATTGCCTTGGCTCCACCTCCCTATTACAACATATTCAAAATAAAAAAAGGGAAATCAAGTTCTTTTTACTTTAATAATATTTTTTATTTACAACATCAGCGTGTAATTTGGCTTGTAATTATTTTGGTACTCGATACGAGTTTACCTATATTTACAATTTTGATATTAACATAAACATTAAAAAACTTCTTTTTGAAAAATCAAAATTATATTGATTTAAATAAAAAAAATGGCAAATCCTTTTGGATCCTTCAACCTTCTAGTCTAAGGTCAGTTTTTATAGGGACTGTTAGTGTACTTTAAAGTTTTCCTCCATGCAAAGATGGTAACGGCGGATAGAATACGATACCTTAAAGGTATTGTCTGATAGAATACGATACCTTAAAGGTATTGTCTGATAGAATACGATACCTTAAAGGTATTGTCTGATAAAGTATGAAATTTAAAATTACGCTTACAGTTCCTTAAATACAAAACACTTCTATAAATGATATAGAACCCCACCTCGACTATTTTCTCCACTTTGGATTTGAGCTCTTCAACCAGCTTGGTCATACGGGCCTCATTGTCCAGAAATCCTAGAGTATTATCATTATTCAAGTACTAACTTACTAAAATGTTTTTACAATTGAAAAAAGAAAAAAAAGAATATAGTTTGTTTTCTCTCTTCTTATTCTACAATTATCAATTACTATTCTAATTAGACAAGAAAAAATTATTTTCAATCAAAGGAACTGATAACTCTTCTCAATCTTTACATTTACTTAATTGTTATATGATTGAAAACCTGTTGTCGTCGTCTATGTAGGAATAAACTGGGCGTACATTATGAATTATTTATTTCGAAAAAATGCCAAGAAAATTTAAAGACACATAAAATCTGCCACACATGACGTTTAAATGCAAATAAATCTTTAAATGACGCCTAGATAAGAAAACTTAAAGGAAATGTAAGCTTAATTTAAGGTGACCCTCAGTCCCTCAATTGCAAGATGTCAATGTCCAACCATTATTTCATCAATAATGTGGATTGTATTGTAGTTCTTCTAGGTTTAACAGTATTCTATTCTGAAAATTCCAGTACGTTTTCATGCAATAAAAAATGCGCAACTAACTTTTGTAGAGAAACTCCAATCGAAAATAATAAGTTTTCAAAATTTTTACACGATATTTAATTCGTACTTGATCAGATACATTGTGTATACCTTGTGAATCAGGCATTGCCATCTTTACATGAAGGGTCTTTTGAAATTAAGCTTTCAGTCCCTTTACGAGTTTGAGGAAGCGATCAGTTCCTTCTAATGTGAAGAAATTTATCAAAAAACTGAATTGGACCTGGATCTGATCTCTCCGGTTCGGAACCAATAATTCCTGAACCTTCTGTCAAATATCCCCGTCTTCCAACCTAGATCAATGAATGAATGAGAGAACTAGGTGAGTAAAAGGATGAATGAATGAATGACTAAATGAATCAATGAATCAATGAATCAATGAATCAATGAATCAATGAATCAATGAATCAATGAATCAATGAATCAATGAATCAATGAATCAATGAATCAATAAATCAATAAATCAATGAATCAATGAATCAATGAATCAATGAATCAATGAATCAATGAATCATAGTATTATTATATCAATTAACCAATTAAGCAATCTCATTGTACCTGTTGCACTCTACTCTGCTGACCGCAAGACCTGCAGAGCAAGCCCACACTGCGTCTCAACATTTTATTAACTGCAAGCTCTGAAATAAAGATTTAAAATATAGAAAATAAAACTGAGAAAGATCAAAATATGGATAGAACAGACCATTGGTCTTACATAATATATTCATGTTATGCATACAATTCATGAAGATAGATAGATAAATGCTTTATCCCTGAGCCCCTGCCCCCTTCTGTACATCAGATATACAAACCCACTGCTCGTCCAAGGTTTCCTTCCATAGAGACACCTGAAATAACATAATCAATCAATCAATCAATCAATCAATCAACCAACCAATCAACCAATCAATCAAAATATGTAAGAAAAACTAATTTGAAACCAACAGACTTTTACATAAAATTAATGGCAAATTTACGACCCAATGTTGGTGAATAGTTTTGGTCCTTGGACAATGGACATCTTATTAAATCTTCTTAAGCATTGAAGAGCGACTAAAGTTTCCACTAGCGGTTTAAATTTTCAACAATTTTCTTCCATCTACAATCTACATTCTATAAGATTTCCACTAACTCACTTTATTATCTCCTCCACTAACTGCTAAAATATTCCCGCTAACAGACCAACTCACATGCCAGACAACGTCCTCGAAGGTATGAAGAACTCTAAAAAATACTAAATTAAATTGGGACTTTTCAAGCGTTCAAACATTTATACAAACCTTCTAGTATTTTCAAATCCTAGTAATTTCATTATTATTATTATTATTATTGGCAGACCAACCTATCATTCAATGAAATAAGGGTCATTTTTATAAATCAAGCTAAAATATCTACTACATCAAATAGTCAAAGTTTGAAATATCAAAAGTTTACACCGCCATAAAGCGAACTGGTAGGTTATCAGTTTCATTTCATAATTTAAATAAATACTTGGGAACCCAGGCCCCTCCGTCCTTGCAGGTCCAGATAACCACTCTCCGGTCCTGGCTACACGAGGCAATCATCTGCCTGGAGGGTCCAAGACTAGCAGCCCAGGCAGTATCACGGACCTAGATATTAGATGTTACATGGCATTGATTTTGGAAGAATTTTAAAAAGTCCGTGAAAAAATTCCTTTCCTTCTCTTCGACCAATTCTAATAAATAGAAAGTAGCAGTATTCCATAGAATAAATTGAGCACTTCTCTTTAACTTAAACCGGGCAAACAAGAGTAGTGGTTCAACTCAGCTTAGTCTATGCTATTCAACTGCTTATCGCTATTCATAAAATATGGTCCGTGAAGGTTTTCTTAAATTTTCAAACTTTTTTAGAACTTTAATTTTGCACTGCAACTAATTTCAGAGAAATTGTAACATTTTTGAGAAATATTTAGATAAAGGTGAACAGTAAGGGTTTAAATCTAACCCAGTCACTGTGAGCTTCTAGTTTGGCTTCTTCGGTCCAGTGCCCATCATCTCCTTCCTTCCAAACCTTTACCAGGCTATCACACCCTCCAGATACAAACCTAGAATATACCAATCAATCAATCAATCAATCAATCAATCAATCAATCAATCAATCAATCAATCAATCAATCATTCAATCAATCATTTAATCAATTAATTAATCAATAAATCAATCAATCATCCATTTTACATATATTTCCGTGAACTGACCTCTTCCCGCCTGACGTAGTCTGACACCAGCTGACGCTGTTGCAGCCGATTGTGTGGGCGTTATTAATCTTCTCTGCCTCCCACTACATTGGGACAATATTAAACAAAGTGTGTGTGTGGGGCGTTTACAAATATTATTTCAGTTCGAACTTTTTTTTAGAATAGTATAAAATAGGTGAACGAGCCTACCAATTTTCATTACCCCACCCCCTTGGACTTCGAATATAATGTCTTATTTCTTGTACTTAATGGTCTTTATAATTTTGTTAGGTTTTACAATAAATGTTCGTTTCATAATTCAAATTCAAATTACTACTTTAATTGGTAAATTAGAAGCAGACACTTTGCACTCAAATCCGAATATTCCCTTAATTACCTGATAGTTAGTGTGTGTATAAGTGAGAACACTAATTGCTCCGTCACTGGATCCACAGGCTAAAATTAATCCTTGCTCATGAGGAGCCCATGCAACACTAGATATAAAAAGACCAATTAATCAATGTGTCCGCAGATATTAATTAATCATCGTTCACGAATCTACGCTTACAGAGATTGCATTTATGTCCCTTCAGTGATAGAGTGGCATGTAAAATACACAACGGTACCTTTAAAAGCTTTGTCTGATAAAGTGTAAATAAGATTTCTTCTAAAATAGAAAATGAAACAATCCCTTTAAAAACAAAAGATTTTATTGAAATACTTCAATAGAAGATCTGTGAAATAATAAACATCAACATATACAAACAGAATCCCCCCTCCCTCCTCACCCCGTCTGGGTGAATACCTGTTAACACTAGAATCATGATTGGTGTATTCATAGATCTTGGACCACTGTCCCCCGCCTTCCTGCCAGATTATAACGCGCCGGTCATACGAGCAGGACGCCAAGATATTCCCGAATCTTGGATGCGCCCACGCGACCTGCCAGACAGGACCTTCATGTCCGCGCAGTTCAGCAGCAAGAGTCTGGGTTCCATCCTAGGAAATAAGCAAGAACGTTAGTAAGAGCGGTATGACGCATCATTAGAAAGAAAACAGCAAAAACAGTGACTCATGATAAAAACGAAATTTCATAATTTCATCCTTTAATTTAAAACACAAATACTTCGCATTTCCCCCGTCCCCGTATACAATTCAAAAGTAAGAAAACCAATAGCCGATGTATTAGTTTTAGTTTTTTGCATATATTTCCTCTCAGGGTCAAAATATTGAGTATAGTGTCAGAGAAAACCGATCCAAAAAACGTGTTGAAACGATCTTTTCCATTTCTTTAGAATAAAAATATTACAAATTTAAATAAAAACAAACCTAGTTAAGTTTTGAGACTTGAAGTTTTATTTAAAGTTTATTAATAGCGGATTAAAAGATAATCAACACTAAATTAGCTGAAGATTGGAGGAGCTTCTTATTTCACATTTAATTTGAAGAAACTGACCTTGACGTCGAATATCTTAACAAGTCTATCCGAACTACAAGTTGCTAGACGGGTGCCGTAGAAATCCATCTGGGCATCATGGATCATATCCTGAAATACCAAACCGTCCATAGAAACCTCGTCAAAATTTGGGATAAAACCAGACTTTTAAATAGGTCTTATTTCCAGGGGCGTAAATAGGGATTCTGCGGGCGGGGGGACTTTTTTTTACCTTGCAAGTACTACTTTATCTCTCCTTTAAACAAAACTAGTAGACAAAAAACAGCAAACTAACTTTTTCTTGTTCTTCACTCTTCAGTTTCAGATTTGAAAAGTGTGAAAGCTCTGAGTTCTAGGGGGGGGTACGCCCCTTTACAGGTCTAGGGGGGCACTGCCCCCCTATAAACACCCTTGATATTTTATGGGCCTTAATAAATTATAATTCAAAATAAATTTTTTGCTATTTTTTTTACCTCGTGCCCAGTGTCTACTGTTGACTGAACAGTCACCATCTTCTCTGAAAAATTTATATTTTTTTTTAAAAAATAAGAAAAAATAGTATCAAGTAAATGTACATTTTGTAATACAACATACTAGCATTGTCAGACTTCTTTCCTTCAATCATAATTCATTTTCTTATTGATTGATGATGGCTTTTTTTTTGGCGTTACGACATTCTTTCTAGCGTTATTTTTGCTAAATAAAGTATACACCAAGGAAACGACAAAACATCACATTGACATGTAGCTTCAAATTTTTAATCTTTATCATAGATCATATCATAGATCTTGCTAACAGTGTTGAGATCCTAGTTTATTAATCTTAGTCAAGAACTATATCAATGCTATTTTATTGTTGATAATGTTCATTGTTCAACCTTTTTGTATATTAATCTTAATTATAAATCATCTCATTGTCATCTTCTTATTGATGATGTTAAGATCCCAATTTCTTTCCTTAATCTTGATCATGAGCTCAGGGACTCGCACGGGCTCAACCAGTTCACAAATGTTCATGCTAAAAAAAAAACAATAAAAAACCAAAACAATTAGGGAACTGATGAATTACATAACTTAACATAACGGACCAATAGCAACGAACTCTTACGTTCTAAAAAAACAAAATTTCGATAAAATTTTCTTTTCAATTTCGTTGAGAAAAAATTAAGAATTTGACTTAAACTTAAACATTTTTTCACACACCGCATTCATTACAAATGAGAGGAATTTATTTAAGAGAACTCAACTTATCAGATAGTATTGAAAAACGAGTAAAATCTAATCAAATTAAATCATTATTATTATATATAATAATATCAAGGAAGCTATACCAAACTCTTTAAACCGCAGTGGATGGGATTAGAATATACCACTCTTTAAACCGCAGTGGATGGGATTAGATTAGAATATACCACTCTTTAAACGGGTGGGTTGCTTTCAATTACGTCTACCATCCCTTTTCAACTTTACAAAACTTAAGCCATTCAAATTTCTAAGCAAGAATTACACTGACCGACGTAGAGCCAGCGAGGAAATGATTGCTCCTAAACCAGAGCTGTGACAGGTTAGGACAGTTGACCGCCACAAGGTTTATCATCTGCAGGGTCATATTGTGACAGATCAAGCATAGGCTGGTCAGTTTACTACCACTTGCTAAATATATTAGAAGTAATTAATGAATGTCATCCTAGCTCATTCTTAAATTAAAAACCACTGTTACGACAGTATAAATGATGTGTAGGACAGATGTGGTGTAGAACTACAAATGGCGATTCCCTTTATGTAGGACTAATTTTTACATGACAAGTAAAACAACACTAAAAAGGCTACACAATAAAACTAATTCTAACCTTCTAGAAAAATCTGAGTTCCTATCCCAGGACTTTGTATTGTTCCAACATGATAAACCAGCTCAACACTTTCAAGTTTAGGCAGACATGAGAGAGCAGTCACATCATCATCTGCTATTCTACAATAGCAGAAATTAATAAATGATTATACAAAATCATCTGCTATTCCAATATAGCAGATATTATTACAAAAGAGAGCAAGAGCGCAGTTACATATCATCTCTGCTATTCTACAGTGGTCGACATTTAAAATAATAAAATGAAGACGACTTTTCCCCTTAAGTTTGGTTTATTAACAAGCTTTTTTCTAATGTAATTTTACAAGTTAACAAAGAGAAGCTGATTATAGATTCTCTTAATTTACATGTTTATGCGTAACCATGCTGTTTGGTTTATTGACAAGCTTTTTTCTAATGTAATTTACAAGTTAACAAAGAGAAGCTGATAATTGAAAGATTCTCCTAATTTACATGTTTATGCGTAACCATGCTGTTTGAAAGTTTGCATGGGTTGAAATAAAAAATTGAAATGGAAAATCGTCTTTATTGTATTGATATATACCAGATATAATACCAGAAATCAATTCAAGAGAGAGCAGTAACAAGACCATCTGCCATCATACAATAGAAGATATTAATACAAAAGAGACAATTGTCCGTTCTTAACATTGAAGATTCTTGATATCGATAATTAAAATGTAAATTTTTGACATCATCTGAAAAAAGTTTGTAATTTCTAACCTTAACTTTACATTTCTAACTGAAGGACATATCTCTGATATAGCATGGATCATTGGTCTCTTACACCTAGAAAAAATTCCAGATGAGAATTTACAAGAAAGATATTATCCAGATAATTAGATGAAGGCCGTGAATTCCATTTTGATGAAGCAACTCGAATAAAGATTACATCACGAAGACTACTGAAAGTAGCCAAGACATCAATTGAATCACCTTTTTTTGCATAAAATTATAACATAAAACAATAACAATAAAAAAATATGTCTAAAAAAATTAACAGAAAAACTAGACCAAAAAAATCAATTTCTAATTTTTCAAGTTTTTAAGTAATAATATGAATGTTGTCTTCCTTAAACCAGTGCCGATATCTGGGGTTTGAACTACTCCTGCAGGGTGGCTAGGTTATGATTGAACAAACAGACAAACAAACAAACAAACAAACAGATAATTACTTCTTTTTACATAGATTCACTTGCAACATTTTCTATTTTGATTGGATTCATTATTCGCTCAAAACATTGTCTAAGAATTAAGTACGCATCAATTTTACAAGAAAAAAAACTATTCATTCTTTTATGTTTATTAATTTATTTTCCAGGATTCTGATATGAACATTTTCTATAAAATATCTTATAATTTCATTCTAAAGAAAAGTACAAAATATAATACTATATTCTTGAGAATTTAGTTATTGCAATGATTAAAATATCTACCCACGTCAATTTAAAAAGAAAACTTATTCAATATTAATTCAAAAAAAGTATTGTTTCAAGTAGGAATATTTATAGAAGAACTAAGATGATATGAATAATATACTTATGGTTTCCAAGGCTCCAAGTTAGTAGATTCCCTAGTTTCTTCAGGCCTTTACAGTTGTTCAACACATACTCAACAGTTCGCTCTAATTAGAACAACACGCATTAATATTTCAATAATGTCTAAAATTTAATGTAAGATACAAAAAGATATGCCCTATTTGAATAGCTCATAAGACGTCTAAAACTTTTTGACATCAACTTCATGTTTCTAGATTGTCATGTTTACCAAGACACCATGTATTACAAGATTAATACCTGTTAAACGTAGGATTCCTGGTATTGAATTCACTCCTGGAACTAGTAACAGCAGCTTCTCTAAACCTAAAAAGTTTGAACGGTTCAGAGTGTTTTATACTTAATATACTTATTAATATTACCTTCTAAATTGCAGGACTCAAATAGTTTAACAACAAAACTATCCGTGATTATATGAGATCTCATCGTCAAGAGAAGTTCTTTTATCGGCGCATTCCTAAAACAAACTAGTTTATTCTCTGAGCTGGAAACTTTTGTATTATGGATATCGAGTTCAATGCTTTTGTTAATTTACAGATTAGTAAAATCTGTTTTCGATATCTGCAGTGTAATTGTACCCTGAAGGGATAAATGAAATAAAAAATTAAGCAATAAACATTGATCCTCAAATTAAAAGTGCACGCAGCGTAAATCGAGATCAAGCGATTTGGATTTTGAGTATCTAACACAAAAGCTCCCAGCTTAGTTTGATGGTGTTGAGATAGGATGAAGACGTTTCCTAATAATTAATTTCATGTTCTGAGCAAATCCTTTTACAAACTTTTCTTTTATTTTTTTCAAGAAATAAACCTCATTTCCCTGTACTGACATTTTAGGCAAATATATCTCTTACGGAAAAAACATTACAACTATGGAATTCATTATTAAAGAAAAGATTTTAAAAAAACTATTTGGAGTTTTGGTTTAAAGTGTTTAAAAAGAGCCACTGCAAAACGGAGAAAAAACATCCAAAGGGGGGGGGGGGAAGGTTGTTCTTTCAGATCATCTCTCCCAGAATAGATTTTATGCAGGGGGCCATATAATTCCAGGGGACAACATTCCAGCGTTGGGACATTTCATAGGACATTTCATAGATAGGACATTTCATAGATAGGACATTTCATGGATAGGACATTTCATAGATAGGATATTTCATAGGACATTTCACAGGACATTTCATAGATAGGACATTTCATAGACAGGACATTTCATTGATAGGACATTTCATAAAAATACATTTCATAGACGGACGTTTAATAGATAAGACATTTCGAAGATAGGACATTTCATAGATAGGACATTTCATAGATAGGACATTTCATAGATAGGAAATTTCATAGATAGGACATTTCATAGATAGAACATTTCATAGATAGGTCATTTCATTATTAGGACATTTCATAAAAAGACATTTCATAGACAGACGTTTCATAAATAGGAAATTTCATAAGACACGAGAATATTTTCCATAGACAGAAGAGATTTATTATCTACGAAATTTAGTTCTCTTGGATTTTTCATAGACAAGGGAAAATGCAAATACAGTTTTCCCCGCATACATTGCTTCAACGAATCAATTAAAAAAGCTTTACATATGAAGATTACTCTTTTTCAAGAACTTAAAATTCAACTTTTTTATCTGTGAAAACCATTCTGTCCATTCAAAACTGTTCACTAAAAGTGCTGTCATCGAATGAAAATACTCGTGTGATTTGTTAAAAATTTGCGAAACAAAATTGGAAAAAACTGCAACTTTTCAGTTGTTTCGCTGACACGGTTGAGGAAGACATAGCCGACGTGATGAGACATTTCATAGACAGAGAAAGTTTTTCATAGACATCAAACAATATAAAGATAAAAAAATATAATTTGTAAGTCTATGGAAAATCTTCTCTGTCTATGAAATGTCCTATCTTTGAAATGTCCTATCTTTGAAATGTCCTATCTTTGAAATGTCCTATCTTTGAAATGTCCTATCAATGAAATGTCCTATCTATGATATTGTTATCTACGAAATTTCCCAACGGCCTCCATCCAATGCGATCCCAAATGATGATTAATAGATGTGCGGCGGGCAAAAATTCCCTATCAGGAAAGAGATCTGAAAGCCCCCCCCCCCCCTCCGTTCGTTGTTAACAAATGGAAGTACGATGTCAAGTTGTCGACAAATGTGCATACTACAGAGTGTTTATTGCTTGCCAGTGTTTATTTTTCTATAGGTGATTATGTGATTATGTGAGATGAGATCTGCAAGAAGCCCCATCATATATCATAATCTAGCTCTCTTATATTGATTACTGATATTTACATCCTTGAACACCCCAAATGCAGTGCACATTTCTGAAGTGTAGTAAACGAACACAAAAAACTTGCGAAAGTTTACAATGAAACCGAAAGTTGATTTTCCGTCCCAAAATGTACTTTTTTAAACCCGGCGAAATTAAATTTATCCCTGAGCCCAAAATTTAGGACATTGTATCGTGATGAAAACCAGTATTAGAACCCGGGTTTACAGAATGGGGTTTGGCACTAGGCAGTTCTTTGGATATCAATATTTTATAATGAAATATATTTTTTTTATTTTCTTCATATTCTCCTTATTTTCCGAATCTCTAAGATAAAAATTTACACGAATGTTAAGACCCCAAAAAAGAAGCTTGGAAGTTTCGTTCAACAATACTTTTTCAAATTTCGAACTCTGTTTTATTCCTTTGCACACTTGTTTTACCTGAGTAGAAATGGGAGAACAGTATCTGGAAAATTATGAACCACGTAGAGTTCATTTTCTCCAACTCTTAGAGAGAGTGTTGTCAGTTTAGTTAAAAAGTTGTGCTCTTTTGGTAAGGCTTCCTAAATAACAAGATTTAGTTTTATTTTAAGCAAGAAGTCTTTTGTAATTGAGTTTATTTTTTATTTTTTCGGGTCAATCGTATCCCGAAAACTGACCCCCACTTCAATATATTGTATAGTACTTGAATACTAAAAAACCGCGAAACCCATTCCAAATTTGACGTATGAATTTTTCCAAAACCCATAAATACTGCATTTAATGTAATACATAACCGCTATTTAGGTTTTCTAAGTTAAGACAGTGTGACCATGAGTATTCTACTATTGACTGATAGCATCAAGGTTGAGTTAGAATACTTGTTTTTGATATTTATAGTATTAAAGGGACTGTAGACGCATATTCCAGTGACTCTCTATTTAAAGAGTGGTATGTCTGAATCAATTTGTAACCATTTAAACCTCTTTCCGGCCAAAAATCCGCAAGCCTGTTTATTGTATAGAAACAACCACAATTGAATTAATCAAGTTTCTGAGAGTAGTAGGAAATCTCATTCATCCTTGGTAAGAACATATTTTAAAACCGCAGTGGATGGGATTAGAATATACCACCCTTTAAACCGCAGTGGATGGGATTAGAATTTACCACTCTTTAAACCGCAGTGGATGGGATTAGAATTTACCACTCTTTAAACCGCAGTGGATGGGATTAGAATAAACCACCCTTTAAACCGCAGTGGATGGGATTAGAATACACCACTCTTTAAACTGCAGTGGATGGGATTAGAATATACCACTCTTTAAACCGCAGTGGATGGGATTCGAATATACCACCCTTTAAACCGCAGTGGATGGGATTAGAATATACCACTCTTTAAACCGCAGTGGATGGGATTAGAATATACCACTCTTTAAACCGCAGTGGATGGGATTAGAANCAATGATCCTTCTCATTTTACTTCCCCTGTTTTCAGGGATCAATAAAATCCCCTTCACCAAACCTCACTCAAACCCAACAAGCCCGATAGAAAATTATCATTTTGGTCTTGTTAAAAATAAATGGTAGTACAATTATATTTAGTTAGGGAAAATTCAAACTGCAGCAGAAAGCAAGGGGATGTGTTTTAAAATTTGGTGTTAATGATCCACATCTCATTGAGTAATAAAGAAGGGGTTAGTTCACCAATTTTTTTGAAAATACATTTCGTTAAGAGTTCCACCAATTCAGTTGTTGAGAACTCCCTAATAATAAAACTTCTAACTAATATTTACGATCAATATTTACACCTTTTGACATCCCGAATGCAGTACAAATTCCTGAAGAGTAGAACATGTACACTGTACAGTGAATGATTTGCGCATCATCAATTTTACAAGAAAAAAAACTATTCATTCTTTTATATGGGTGTGTATTTTCCTGAAAAACAGCAACCCCCCCCCCCCCCCCCCCCCTCCAGAAGTTAGGTATTATTTTCTCAAGGTTTTCCTCGCTGAATTGGGGATAATAAATGATTCTTACGAGGAGATAAATAACTTTATGAGGAAAAGCATAAAAAAGATGATTCTTAATTTTTTTCCCCAAAATTCATCTAAAAAATTGCCTCTGAGGTGCGTTTAATTTTAAAAATGATACACCCTGAGATCAGAAATGGGATATTATTGCCCCCCTGCCTGTTATCTATATGGGTAAGGTTAAGAACTATCTCCGGCCTGGTCTTGTGTATGGTTCTAATCATCTTCCCTGTCTCCTTGTATCCCAGATATTCCAGCTCAAGCAGTTCTACTATCAACTAGAAATAAACATGGATATATTGTGCACTGTGCAGGGTTCCTTATCTACTTGTATCCCAGATATTCCAGCTCAAGCAGTTCTACTATCAACTAGAAATAAACATGGATATATTGTGCACTGTGCAGGGTTCCTTATCTACTTGTATCCCAGATATTCCAGCTCAAGCAGTTCTACTATAAACTAAAAATAATCATGGTGGATATATTGTGCAGGGTTCCCTGTCTCCATGTATTCCAGGTACTCCAGCTCAGGTAGTTCTACTATGAACTAAATGTATACAGGGGTATTTATTGACAAAATCATGCCCCCTCTTTCATCTAAAAAATATCATGGGGGGGGGAGCTTGGCGGTTTCTGCTTAATAAATCTCTTCCCCTTACCCCCCCTTCTTTTCGCCTGTTCAGAAAAATTCTTAAAAATTTATAATAATATAATGGACGAATTCATGATAATTGAAGAAAGAAAGATTAGGAATAAGAATTAAAAACAATACATAACAATACAATAGAGACTGTAAGGCGTAATTTCAAATGGCCCTCCATCCGAGGGCAAGGCTTGATTCACAACGGTACCCTTGAAAACTTTATCTGATCAATAATATGGAAGATGTTGTCCTTTGTATAGGTTTAAATATTAAAATTCCTATATGTTTTCCTGTACTACGAGTCTCTTTGGTAAGGAAACCACAATTGAAAATGATCTGTTTTCAAAATTATAAACAAATCTAATTCATACTTGAGAATCGGCCATTTCCATCTTTGCATGGAAGGTCACTTGAAATTACACTAACATTCCCTTTAGTGTTCTAGGCCCACTAGCCTTCTTATATATATAATACATTGATGATATAGTTAGTACTGCTACCTTGATAAAGCTGATTGAAACATTTGCTGATGACACAACGTTCGGACAAACAGTTATCAATGATGAAGACAGAGACGATCACCAAGAATGCCTAAACCTAATTTGTAGTTGGGCCTCTAGATGGGGAATGCGCTTCAATGTAAAAAAATGCTAGGCTATGCATTTTGGAGGAAATAATCCAAAAGCAGAGTATTTTATGAACGGTGAAAAACTTTTGGAGTCTGAGACAGAACGTGACATTGGTGTAACGATTTAAAATAATTAAAAACCCTCTAAACAATGCTCTGAAGCAGCCAAGAAGGTCAATGCTGTTCTAGGAATGATAACAAAGGCATCCCACAACAGGGACCGACATATATTTATTACCTATACAAACCTTGAATTTCGTTCTCTAGCATGTTCATTGTTCACCCAGACCCAAGCAGATATAAACTGTCTCGAACATATTCAACAAAGAACTGTACGCTTGGTTTCTGGACTGAGAAGCCAAGATTACAAGGATCGACTTCAAGAACTCCAGGTACTTGTTTTAAAGGATCGCAGAGTAAAAACTGTCATGATCACAACTTACAAAATCCTAAATGGGTTTGACAGAGTTGACTCATCTACCTGGTTCAAACAAATCAACCAGACCAGAAGAACAAGGTTGAATGCTGATCCAGCAAACCTTAAACCCTCTTTTACAAGGACTGAAATCAGAAGGAATTTCTTTAGTATCAGAGTACTAGATATATGGAACTACCAGCTCATGTCAAAAGTTCAACCTTAATCAATATATTCAAATCTCGATATGATGATTATCTATGCACAAGAACTTTTGATGCTATCTAAATCCAGCCTTGCAGAAATTCTCATAATGGTTCCACTGGGACTCCTGAGAATTACCACAGAAGTAAGAAGAAGTAATGAAGTAAATGAAGAATTTATTCTTCTATAAAATATACCTTAGCTAGATCTTTCTCGAATATTCCCGTATCGAATATGAGAAGACGGCGAAGATTTGAGCAACCGGGATGCTCTTCAATATCCTTACCAGGACCTACATCACATATAGTTACAACCGCATTTGATTTGTGTAGAAGGTCTTGAGTGTTAAATTAAAACTGGTTGAGTTAGCCCCCAGCCACTCTCCCCCAAACTTTAGAAAACCACTTTGGTTTACCTTGAAACTATTTATTCTTTCCCCCAAACTTTAGAAAACCACTTTGGTTTACCTTGAAACTATTTATTCCTAATAATAATTATTAATAAAAGGAATTTATGTAAAGGCGTCATATATTTTTTACATACTATTTTTCAAAAACGCCCAAGTCGTCTTTGCGTACCATAATAATGTGGAAACCACTTATTCAACGACAAATATAATAATAAAGGTAAAGTCGACATCAAACTTTCATGTATTGATAAATGCGATGAAAACTAAGAAATAAATGAAAAAATGAATTGATTTGAAAAAAGAGAATTTTTCATGGAATAAAAAATTCATTAATACCCATATTGCAAAATGCATAGGGACTAAAGCGTCATTATGAAAAGTAAATAAATTAAGAGTTAATTTTTTACCTAAATGCCGGATTCCCTCTCCAGTAATAGCTGCGTTGTAAGAAATATTCAAAACCTGTCCAAATTCTACAGTTCTATTTAAAATAAAAATAAAAAACCTGACTTGTTCGCTTCAAAAATCTCCCCCTCCCACCCTCTAAATAAATATTTAACAATACAAAAGATGTAATTGCACGTAGGTGAATAAAATCCATTCGAGATATTTTTTATGGTAGACCAAATTCTAAATTAAAGATCCCGACCAGTTTCAAACAAAATAAAAACCAATTCATTATCTTGATTCATATCTAAAGCTTAAAGAGGCTGTCAGCGTAATTTTAAGTGACCCATTCCATGCAAAGGTGTCACTGCTAGATTAGAAACGGTACCCTTGATCCTTACAACCTTTATCTTATCAATAATGTGAAAGATATTGTCGTTTTCTTAGTGTTTAAATTATGATAATTACTATATATTTTCCTGGTCACTTTTATAGAGAACCCACAATTGATAACCAGTTTTCCAAATTATAATTAATACTTGGTGTAAATTGAAAAAAACGCTTAAAGGTCACTTTTGTGAATGGCTGATGCCATTATTAGAACTGTATGAATTCCCCTCCAGGTTGGGACAATGCTGACCAATCAGCTGTAAATGCTTGTTCTCCATCTTTCATCAATAGATCAATTAATTTCTTTATTATGGTTTGGGGGTCTAAAATATTTTCTATTTTGAGGGACTCAAAAAAAAACAAGTTGTGTCACCAACTTTTTTTAATGGAGATTTCGCACGTTGGTTTCAGACAAATACAAATTGGCCAACAAGCAGTTAATCATGTGCAATTTTATCACAAACATCTATGATATCTGAAAAATTGCTAAATCTTATTTTCTACAAGGTTGTTTAGGACAAATTATGCAATGTTTTGACTCTGGCAGAAGATGTACAATATTAACGGATGAAAAAATCAAGCCAATAGCGAAAAGCTGATTCCGTTCTTTTTTTGCATACTTTAATAAAAGCTATCTTGTAGAGAATAATATTTTCCTTAGATATATAATAGAACGAACAAACCTGGCTGCCAGGTCTAGTTGTATGCAATTTTATCAAATGGAATAAAAATCCGCAAATCCCTAGAGAATTAAATTAACTTGATTCACCATTCGCCAAAGTATTTTAAAATCATAATAATTGCGAAAAAATCGTTATTTGTTTCCAAGTTCATAATTATGAAAGCTTGAATTGATTTAGTGCCTGAGGTAACGAGGTTTTATTATTGGGTGAGGACAGGTTCAAGGAAACCAGGTTCTTCACCTAATTATTGATTAATTAATTGATTGATTGATTAAAGGAATTGTCAGTGTATTTTAAGGAGGCCCTTTACTTTATAAGTGTGATCACAAAGTCATTTAAAATTCTTACCCTAAAAATCAAACATAATACAACATATTTGAAAATAGACAAAACCTAAAAAGTTACATTTGATACAAAAGTCACATAAAATTACGTTAAGGATTAAACTAATAGCAGTCTTAATTACCCGTACTGTATTTGTTCATAAAATTTTTTAGAAAAGATTAATTAGTAAAAAAATGGGACTGATTACTATATAGGCTCAAACTCTAATTTTCAAATCCTTACATACTTATTTGCAAACTGACGTCGTAGATATTTCAAGATCTTTTAAATTTCAAACTTTGAAATGTTAATGGTTTACATTATCAGATTGAAAAGATATGGAAATTATGATTAAGAGTTTGAGGTGAGTTTACAATAAATTTATCTAACCTTCGGTATAGCGTGTGAAAGGGCTGTTTTAAACTCAGTGAACACATTTTGTGACACGGTTGACAGATGAAGCAACGGACTGAGATCTACAAAAAATCAATATGACTTTACAGAGATTTTGCTTAAAATTCAAGTTTAACATAAAATCTGGGTGAAAATTGTACATCCATTAGACCCCAAAAAATGTCACAACATAGGACACATAAAATTACCTTAAAGTGATATAATTATCTTCTTTGCTAAAAAAGTCCAATTACACTGGAAAAATAAAAAATAATGGAATAATTTACGTCGTCTTTCATTTTTGGCCGGGTCTAAAAAAATTCCCCCCACTTCTCTATTCTTTCATGCCCTTTTTCACAGAAAACATAATATATGTGTAGATAAAAAAATCAAAGCTTTTTTGTTATTGTTTTTTTCCCACCTAAGCTTTGTTAAATTAAACTGGAAAAGACTTAAGAATTATCATACGAACTTATAGTTTTTCCTTTAATAGCTTTTTAATCAGAAAACTATTTTCAATAATTTTAAAAGCACTTAATAAAAAACTACCTAATTTCCCCCCTATTATAAAACTATACAAACATTGAACAATTCTAGACAAAAATTACCTAAATTAGATTTTAAAGTTAGTATAAAAAAAGAAGAATAAAAGTCTTTCAGAATTCAACTAACTTTTTGGACCAACCTAGATGGATGCTTTTCTCCAGTAGGACGAGTGGAAGGACGGATCTCAAGGACGGGATATCTATCCGTCCTAGCTTTAAACTGTTCTCATACCCGAACTCTGCCTTTACAAAACAGGGATTTATTTTATCCATTATATATTCAAGCTGCATAGGAATAATTAAAAGAATCAGTTCTCCATCATAATTTTTCAAAGACTTGAGACAAAAAATATAAATTGCATAAAAAATAAAAATTCCGAATATAATGGGAAAATGAAAGAAAAGAGCAGGGGGAGGGGCTTCAATTTACTTGGATATGGCCGGGGAAGGGGGAGCCTCTATTTTCTTGGATACAGCTCGGAAGGGGAGGAGGCTCATTTAGATTAAACACTGCTAAAAATGAACCATCAGGTTTCAAGTCAAAACACCTAAACTTTTTCTTCAGAATGTGTTTAAATGCAATCTTCTGAGTTATAATATAAATTTTCAGAAAATGCCACCAAGAAAATTATTCACAAATCCATTTTAAAGATATCTCAGAAATCAAGGGCGTATGACAGGTCCAAAATCAACGTAATTTCGTTAATATGCTTCTTCTGGTTAATTTCTACAATATTTTTTGAACTGTAAATGGCAGGGTCCCCGAATTTTGTAGCTTTTCATGAACATAAGACATATTGTAGTAAAAATTCAAAGCCTTAAGTCAACTCCCTAACTGACTAGATAAGGTCATTAAAGTCATTAACAGTTAAAAAAATATCGCAAAAAAACAGAATCAGCTTTATCAAGTCTTAAAACTATACATTTGTTTTTGGACCAGAAAATGCACTTGATTTCTACAATATCTTAAAATGGATTTAATCATAATTCCCTAGATGGCATTTCCTAAAAGTTGAGATTAAAATTCAGTAAGATTGCATATTCATATATTCCAAAGAAAAAGTTCAGTTCTTTTGACTTAAAACCTGATAGTCCATTTTCAGCAGTGTGATTTAGCTCTGACCTGCATTGTTCGTAGGACGGATTCAGCTTTAGCTCCTTGAGTAAGAACCCACACACCCTGTCCTGTGTCAATCAATCAATCAATCAATCAATCAATCAATCAATCAATGCAAAATGGAAAATAAATTAAAAAAATCAATGAACTAATGAAAAGTGAATAAAAAATCAATAAGCTGATGAAATAATGAATCTATGAATCCATGAATCCATGAATCCATGAATCCATGAATCCATGAATCCATGAATCCATGAATCCATGAATCCATGAATCCATGAATCCATGAATCAATGAATCCATGAATCCATGAATCCATGAATCCATGAATCCATGAATCAATGAATCAATGAATCAATGAATCAATGAATTAATGAATTAATGAATTAATGAATTAATGAATCAAAGAATCAATGAATCAAAGGATGAATGAATGAATGAATGAATCAATATTTAAAGTTCTCAGCCTATCCAAAGGAGATATGGATGGGATATGTTTATATTCTATTTAAGCTTTAGAACCAGTTTGATTGTAAACAAATAATAATTTGAAAAACAACGAAAGCATGTTCAAACTTCTAAGGAATACCGGGCCTGAACTGTCATAATACGTTACTGGAAACAAATCTCATTAAACTAAACGAATTATGTTCCTTTGGATCTTAGAGAACTGGCTAAGTTTAGAAACATTTTTTATTCGTTTACAAAAAGCTTTTTACGAGGAAAAAATTAAAATTAAATATCAACTCTAAGACTTTTCTTAAAATTCCCAATAATACATCCTTAATCTATTTTTCCACCAAGCGTGGGCCTTGAAATAATTGGTCTATTTAATAAAACTAGACTCTAACCTTCTGGCAGTATGTTGAACCTACGAATATACTCCGCTAGGAGGGAGGAGTGAACTGGGTTAAGGAGTACTCCAGGTATACCACTCAACTGGGACTCCAGGGACAACAATAATCTAGAGTAAAACGATATCAGAACTTGTGTTGTAAATCTCGGAATCACGCATTGATTGATCTCTATCTTAGGCAGCTCTACGAATTAATTTCTTTTAGATATCCGATAACGCAGTCATACCCTGGGGATAACTTTATTTGAAGGATCATCAAATCTATAAGTGCGCACATGGGATACGAGATCAAGAGTTCAAGACTAACGATATCCACTAAAAAGTTCCTATCTCTGATTGATTACCTCTTTTCAATCTACAATAGAGCGTTGGATATATAATATTAATTAAATAATACATGAATAAAAATTACATAGGTGAAGTGAGCTAAATATGATTTTCGAAGATTTTTTTTTTTTTTGGGGGGGGGGTCAATTGGACCTCGATATACTAGTTTTAACAGTTACAAAACAAAATCCAAAGTGACAATGCTTAATAAAGAAACCTGTTAAATTCTTCCACATTTTCCTTTAATCTCAATTCATTACTTCCTTCCATTGTTGCCTAAATAGAATTTCGATATAAAAGGAGAATCTGATTATAAAAATATATCAGCATTTTCTACAAATTTAAAATCAAATCAACCAATGTTTCCTTTAATAACACGCACTTTTTGCCAATATTAACCAAAATATGCACAGCTACAAACCTCCTGTAACAAAATACATAGTGTGTAAAAATTATGAACAAACGTATGTTATAAATAATAAAAAAAAATTGTCCAACAATTACCCAAAACAACGATTATGTAATAAAAAACCTTGAGTGTGGGAAAATATTATTGCATTTAACGAAAAATTCGATCTCTTCAAGTCTTCCATAAAAAATTTTACATTTAAAAAATCAACAACAACAGAATATAATTTTTTTATCTCAAACTGTTACCTCTAAGCTCGGGTTTTGAAACATCTCCTGTTCTTTGATAAACTGAGATTCTTCAAGTCTAAAATTTGAACAAATTAGATGTAAAAAATAAAACAAAAAAAATATTTTTATGTCATTAAAATCTCTTATTTTTTTTTCATTCAAGTTCACTTTCACCCTCCCTCTGTTCTCAGTCCTCCCTAATCTGTATATACATTTGTCTGTTTGTTTGTTTGTCTGTCTGTTTGTATCCAATAAACGTCAAAACAGCTGAACCGATCGGGCCCAAATTTTTTTGTGGGACATCTAGGGACCCCAGGGAAGGTTTATGAATGATCAAAATTTCAAATTTTTGTCTTCATCAAAATTTGATCTTCATTAAATTTTTTAAAATTTTGAAAATCCACGAATTTTTTTGTGAAATTCCGCGAATTATTTTTGTTTTGTTTTACGATGTACACAAAGAGAACATGTTCACAATTTACATAGAAGCTCTAAGGCTAGTCAAAGAAAAAATCCGGGGCTAAGGCATAGCAGTTTGGAATCCTCAAGACTAGTGCTTTAACATAGACTAGGTGTGCTAATCCAAAAAAATCGTCCCCGCAAAATATTTGCAAAAACATTTGGAAAATGACTACATGAATAGATTATTTTCTTAATTTCATTCCCAAAACCCCATTTTAATGCCGTATCTTTGGTAGCAAGTATGCGGATTTCATAATATTTTGTCTCGCATTTTAAAATTTTTACAAAAATAAAAAACTTTTTAACACAAATGTTTTAAATTTTGATCATTCATAAACCTTCACTGTGGTCACGTGAGGTTCCACACAAAATTTGGGCCCGATCGGTTCAGCCATTTTGACGTTATTGGATACAAACAAACAAACAGACACCCGGACAGACAAAGCAAAATTTATATTAAAAGTGGGGTCGCCGATTTTTTTTCAATTTGAGGCATCCTTTCTGTGGTTTAAGAGTTTAATAATCAAAATTGTGAATCTTTTTATATAGATCTAACTAATCATTCCGATTGATCTAATTTTCAACTTTACTGAGCTGTAAAGTCGATTTAAACATTAGTGCATATGAACAAAATTAAAATTCATTATTTCTAAATATTAAAATGTTCTTTTTTCGTTTCTCCTTTTAGCTCATCCTTGTTTAGGTTTTCTCTCAATCTGTCCTTGCTCAGTTTCTCCCTTAAATCAATTCTTGTTTCAATCTGCGTTACTCAGATTCTCCTCTCAATTCCATCCATCCTTGCTTACTGCTAAGTTTCTTCTCTAAATCCTTCCTTGTTAATTTTCTCCTCTCAATTCATCCTTCTTTACAACTTAGTTTCTCCTCTCAATCCCTTCTTGCCCAGTTAATTCTCTCAATCAATCCTGGGAACAGTTTTTCCTCACAATCCATCCTTGCTCAGATTCTCCTCTCGACCCGTTCATACTCCTTTTCTCCTCCACATCAATTCTTCCTCAGGTTCTCTTCCCAATCTGTTCTTGCTTAGTTTCTCTTCTCAACTCTCCTTGCTGAGAAACTGAAACTGAGAAACAAGGACAGATTTAAGGGAAAAACTGAGTAATGATAAATTGAAACAAGAAACTAAACAAGGACGGATTGAGAGGATAAACTGAGTAATGACAAATTAGGAGGAGAAACTAAGCAATGACGGATGGAAAGGATAAACTGAGTTATGATAAATCAAGAGGATAAACTAAGCAAGGATGGATGGAGTAGATATACTGAGTAAAGATAAATTGAAAGGAGAAACTAAGCAAGGATGGATGGAAAGGATAAACTGCATTAATCTCGAGGATTCCAAAATTGACCCTAGATCATTTCTTTGAAGTAAATTTTGATTATTGATTATTATTCTGGCATCAGTTGAATATCCCGATCAGCCTACCTAACTAGGCAGTCAAGCAGTATCCTAGCAATATGATTAGCTGCCTGAATCTCAAGCCTATCTACGCCCCGAGATGGCGGCATTTTTATTCTGAAAATATATAAAATCTTTGATGTCAATGACTTCTAAACACGGAATTTGAGCAAATAAAACTGAACTTCAAAACTTGTGCGGAGGAAGCACAAACTTCCAATATCCAAGTTTATCTAAGTTTAAACACATCAAAGCTTAATTCTTTGAACATATTGCAATTTTGATCCGGGTTTCTGGTTGTGAAGAGTAAAATCAAGGATTAAGCTCCGGCCAAGTTCAGCTTAATCGGAGGGCTTTAGCTTGGAGTTCAGCTTAGTCGGGATTTTAATCTCCAGGTTCTGCTCAATTAGGACCTTAGCTCCAGGTTAAGGCCTAATCGGTGGGTTGCAGCTAAATGTATAGCTCAGTTGGGAGTTTAATCTCCAGGTTCTACTTAAGCGGACATTTTATCTCAAAGTTTAGCTTAATAAGAGGGTTTTGGCTCTAGGTTCAGATAAATTAAAAAGTTAATCTCCAGGTTAAACTTAGTCGGAAGTTTAATCTCCAGGTTCAGCTTAATCGGAAGTTTAATCTCAAGGTTCAGCTTAATCGGAAGTTCAAACTCCAGCTTCCACTTAAATCGAAAGCATATCACCACATCCTTCTCAGCTGATTTTCAGGTTGTGTAGCTTTTCCCGACTCATTCCATTCATTTTCATTAATATCAGCCTCCGCCATCTTCCTCTCAGATATCCACCATTTTCCTAGGCAAACCAAAATATACTAATTAAAGAGAGTATTCGCGAAAATACAGAATTTGGATGATCCACAAATAATTCTTGAACAGGTCAGACAAGAAAATGTATCCAATTTGTTTAATGTTAGTGAAAAAAACCGTACCCCTGAAATGTAGAAAATGAAGGCGAATGCATGTTTTTTAATGTGCACTTTCGGCGAATAGAAAAATAAGTAATACCAATCAATTTATAAATCATGATTAATCCTTGTTCGTCTTTATATGCAAATAATCCCATTAATGATTAATTCTAACAATTTTTAAAGTCTTTCATAAGAATTTTAACTATTTTTTAATTTAATCATTATGCCTCAGGCCTTGGATTTCATTTGAACAAAACGATTTTCAAAATTTATGAATGAAAAATATAAGCTTCAATTTTTAAGATTTAAGATAAGAAGCTCGTCCTCTTCCTTTAGCATACAATTCCAGATTAGGCTAGGGTTGGATAGATAGGAATA